AAATAAAATTTTTAATTTAATAAAAATTTTACTAAATAAATTGAGAATTCGATAATAAACCCAAAATTCTACTAAATAATTTTTTAATTAAATGAAAATAACTGCACAAAACAGAAATTGTGCTTAATAAATTCATAAGTTAAATGAAAATTTATTCAGTGGAAATTTCGATAAACATAAACTTAAATGAATAAAACTTTGGCTAAATAAAAAATTGGGTAAAACAGAAACTCTGCTAAATGAAAATTTAGGTGAAATGAAAATTAGGTTAAATAAAAAATTTGGTAAAACAGAAACTCAGCTAAATGAAATTTAGGTGAAATGAGAGTTCGGTTAAGTGGAAATTCGGTAAAACAGAAACTCTGTTAAATGAAACTTAGGTCAAATGAAAGTTCGGTTAAATGAAAATTCTTGCTAAATGAAACTTTGGTTAAGTAGAAATTCGGTAAAACAGAAACTCTGGTAAATGAAAATTTAGGTGAAATGAGAGTTCGGTTAAGTGGAAATTCGGTAAAACAGAAACTCTGTTAAATGAAACTTTGGTCAAATGAAAGTTCGGTTAAATGAAAATTCTTGCTGAATGAAACTTTGGTTAAGTAGAAATTCGGTAAAACAGAAACTCTGCTAATTGAAAATTTAGGTTAAATATAAATTCGGTAAAACGGAAACTCTGCTAAATGAAACTTAGGCCAAATGAAAATTCCGTTAAATGAAAGTTTGATTAGAAAAAATTTCAACGTAATGAAAATTCTTTAAAACAAAAATTATATGTTAAATAAAACTTTGGTTAAATGAGATTTAAAAAAAAAATGAAAATTAGTAATAATTATTTTTTTAAATATTAAAAAAAACCGAAATTTATAAAAATCGAATCTCAATGTATAATAAGAACAAGATTTTGCATAGCATGCGACTCGGAGGAGAATGGGGGGGGGGATTCTTGTCTGGCAAGTTGTTTGAGCGATTTTACGCGCGCGATATTATCCTGTCCACGTCGAACTTGGAAAATTAATGAGTATGACGACGAGAATTGCTTCCGGAATGCCGACGAGAGTTTTACACTTATCTGTCTCTCTCTCTCTCTCTCCTTAAGTAAAACCCTCCGCACTAAGGACCACACGGCAGTCATCTTTACCGTCTATACGTGTTGAGCATGCACAGCGTGCGATTCCGTTAGAATCTATTTTGCACGCCTCATGCAAAAGCTGGATTCAAGATCATGGAAAATAAATCGCTGAGGGCGTGGAATTCGATTTTATGCTAAGATTTATATAATATATATATATATTAAAGAGAATTTTCAACATGTTTCTTCAATTAGTTTAACGACAAATTATCACGCTATAATAATTATCATCAACAAAAATCGATTTTTCGTAATTAATATTTATATATTCGATTCTATATTATCCGCTTTCACAAAATTTAATTTATTATGATATATTGAAATCAACGATATATGTTTCACTAAAACAGCGAAAATTTTCGCTATTCTAAAGAAACATATCGCTGTTTCAGATAAAGAATTTTTTTCAAAATTATTATTTTCTTTTTTTTTTGAGTTTTAGTTTACAATTGATTTTAATTGACTACACTAATTATTATTTGGTTATATCAAAAAAAAAAAAAAAAAAAAAAAATTCCATGGAAAGTGATTTCCAGTAATTTTTGAAGAAATTCCATTAGGATATCCATGGAAATTTAATGGAATTTCTATATTAGAAATTAATTGGGAAATTTTTTTAAATTAAAATTTTAATGAATTTCCATCGCAACTTTTTTTTTTTAGAGGAATTCTAAGAAAAATTTAATGGAATTTCTATGGATTTTAATTCAAAATATTTAATGAAAAATTTAATTAAATTTCCATGGAAAATTTATGATAAGTCCATTAATGAAATTGATGAATGTTTATGGAAATTTTGATGGAAGTTCTATGAAAAAGTCTATAAAAAAATTTCAAAGAATTTCTATTAAATTTTCATGTACTTTCCATAGAAATTCCATGGAATTTGTATAGAAATTCATTGGAATTTTTATTTTTTAATAAAAATTTAATTGAATTTTCATCGCAAATTTTCATAAGGAATTCTATATATGAAAATTTGATGGAATTTCTATGGAAATTAATTGTAAATCTTTATTAAAAATTTAATTCAATTTCCATGGAAAAAATGGATGAATCCATGAAAATTTAATTAAATTTCCATGGAAAAAATGGATGGATCCATGAAAATTTAATTGAATTATCTTAGAAAATTAATGAAAATTTTTATACTTAAACTTGAATGTTTTAATAGAAATTCAATATTATGGAAATTTGATGAAATTTCCATGAAAAGTCCATAAAAAAATTCCAAGGAATTTCTATTAATTTTCCATGTACTTTCCATAGGAATTCACATGGAAATTTAATGGAATTTCTATAATTGAAATTAAATCCAATTTTTTTAATAAAAAATTTAATTAAATTTCCACGTACTTTTCAATAGGGATTCCATGGAAATTTGTTTTGGAATTTCTATTAAATTTTCATGTACTTTCCATAGAAATCTCATGGAATTTCGTATAGAAATTAATTGGAATTTTTTTTTAAATAAAAATTTAATTGAATTTCCATCGCAAATTTTCATAAGGAATTCTATATATGAAAATTTGATGGAATTTCTATCGAAATTAATTGTAAATCTTTATTAAAAATTTAATTCAATTTCCATGGAAAAAATGTTCATAAAAAAATTCCAAGGAATTTCTATTAAATTTCCATGTACTTTCCATAGGAATTCACATGGAAATTTAATGGAATTTCTATATTTGAAATTAAATCGATTTTTTTTAATAAAAAATTAAATTAAATTTGCACGTACTATATCCAATAGGAATACCATGGAAATTTGTTTTGTAATTGAATATGAAAATTGTAATTGAATTTAAAAAAAAAAATTAATGATAAATCCAAGAAAATTGAAATTAAAAAAATAATTCTTAATAAATAATAAAAATTTTCATTTAGCCAAGAAAATATTTAGAGTAAAAAAAAACATCTTAACACAAAATTACTGGATAAAGAAAAAAAATATTTTTTTTTTTTAATTGACCAATTATAAAATTTTCTTTTAAGGGCAATTTCAAATTTACTATAAATAGATTTAATCAGAGTCAATAATCGTTACATTTTATAACTTATGTTGTTGTAAATAATCGAAAAATTTGACGATCGCGAGAATATGAAAATTGATATTGTCGATTTTTTTTTTCTTTTTAGTGTCTACTTTCTGTGTGTAAAATAAAATCTATTGCCGAAAAGCAATCGAGACACAGTAAAATCAATCGTAAACTGGTTTTGATGACGCGCGCGCGTAATATATGTTTACGACACGTCGCTAAAAGCCCCATCACAACCATTAACCGTGATATCTACTACGATCGTAAAAACCCATAATTATATATATATATAGTACTTAAATAATTTTATATATATCTCAAAATGTGCATTTTTATCTCTATTTTCAGTCAAGATGTTTGACCCACTAAAAAAAAAAGTGCACTGACTCGATTATTCCTCCGTTGCATTTAAATATAAAAGAAAAATATATATGATTATAAAAAAAATATCTAGAACAAGAGCAAAAATATTCTTTAATTTAATAATAAAGAAACATTTTTAAAATTTCTATTTTTAATAAATAAACAATTAGCACTGATTTTTTTTTCATTACTGTGGTAATTATTTTATTTTTCCAATTTAAATTATATCCAGAATTATTTCTTTTTTACTTCGTATACAATTGAATCAAGAACTCTGGTTAATTCAATTTTCTTAGGGATGAAGAATTATTTCGGTAATTCTATCAAGAAAACGGAAAACGTCCAAATTAGTTTGAATTTTGTGAAATTAAAGTTGTTTTCACAAAAAGTTAAGATAAGATTTTTTTTTTTTGTAATTTCTTTTCCTGTTCTTTATTTTTTTATAGTAGAAATTGCTTTTTTTTTTTTTTAAATTTACAAGAATTATATTTATAGAATAAAAAAAAATCCTTATTTATAAGGGGGGTGGGGGGGGGTTGAGTTTTTTAATTATTTATTAAATAAATTAATTTTATTTTATAATTTTTTATTATACGAATTATATGATTATTCTTATTATGTTGAATAATGAATACTTTGTTTTCCATATGAATAAAAAAATTTTAATTTGTATAGGCAAAAGAAAGGATTTTTAAAAATTAAGTGAATATTAAATTTAGATTTCATTAATTGTTTTCTTGGCTAAAAATCAATTTTTAATTTGAAAACAAAAAAAAATTATGTTACCATTTATGGAGAAATTTTTCTTATTTCAATCAATCCATAGATTTTCCATAAAAAAAATTTTCATAGACTTTCCATTTATTTTCCAAAGAAATTTCATCAAATTTCCATAAATGTATTTTTTTCATGAATATTTTAAGGAATTTTAATTAAATTTTCAAATATTAGAAATTCCATTTAGTTTCCATGGAATATTCTATTTAATAGATTTAATAGATATTTCTATTTAATAAATATTCAATTAAACAAAAATTCCATTAAATGAAATTTTTTTTTTTTTATAATTTTTCGCAGTTATTTTATATTAAGCATTAAAATAAATTATGGAGACCCTAAAGTTTTTAAATTTTCAATATAAAACTTTAGGGGCTCCATAATTTATTTTCTATAAAAAATATTAACATTTGTGATATACTCCACGGTGATAGGGACTGTAAACAAATTTTAGGTTATGTTCGGTAAAATTTTACCTTGATTAAATATTTATTTCTAATTATGTAAGGCAAAAAAAAAATCTAAAATTCTAAATATTATTTGTAAAAGTTTTTTTTGTGATTAAAAATAATGAATTTTATCAGAAGTGAATAAAATTTATTTTATTGAAATATTATTTTTTGTTGTAAATGTTTTTTTTTTTTTTTTTTTTTTTGTTATTAAAAATAATTAATTTTTATTTTGAAATTTTTCAGAAGCTCTGAGGATCATGGATCCAGCGGCGTTGCAGGAGGAGGTGGTGGTGTTGGTGTTGGCGGAGTTGGAGGAGGAGGAGGAAGTGGCGTTAGCGGTGGAGGAGTTGGAGGAGGAGAGACATTTGAATCGAGAGGATCGCACGGTAATTTCTATAGTGGCGATGGCAGGAGCAACCGCGTGGGCGGCGGCAGCAGCGGCAGTGTTAGCGTCGTCGTTGGTCATCAGGTTGATGCAAGCTCAGTTGAAACAAGCGGTTATATACCAAGAGGACGTCCACCACCAAATAGCAGTTATCACGTGACGTCAACAAGGGCGAGGGATCGGCTTTATCCGCGAACGGGTCCATATTCCAGCGGTCCGCCACCCCCGCCCCATATAGATCGTCATCGCAGTTCACTCACCACATCAACATCATGGTCCAGTTACGAATCGGCTAGCTCAAGATATGGCTCTGGACCACCGCCACCATCACCAGCCACCACTGATTCATATCCTGATGAACCAGGTATTTTTCGAAAATTAATTTTTTTTAAAATTTTTTCATAAAAAGAAATTCTTATTTTAAGAGAAATTTTATTAGAAATAATTATTTTTTAAACGTATTTTCATTTTTTTGAATTAGAATTACATTTTATACAAATTTTTACTTAACATAATTTTTGTTTGCTAGAATTTTGATTTTGTAGTCATTTAATTTACACCATTTTTTTTTCTTTTTGGATAAAAAAATTTTTAATTTAGCAGAATTCTCATTCAAATAGAATTTTATCTGATTCGAATTTTTGGGGCGTATGATTATCCCATAAAAATTATTAGTTATTTTCATTTTAAAGAATTTTATTAGATATAATTATTTTTTAGACGAATTTTTATTTTTCAAATTAACATTTGTCAGAATTTCTTTTCTAAAGAATTTTTAATTAACAGAATTCTTAGACACTGAAATTTTATTTGGCAGAATTTTTAAAACGCCGAATTTTCATTTGTCCGAAATTTCAAAATGACCGAACAAACAATCGACAGAAAGATTTTGGCGCGATTTATAAAATCAACCAATCACAATTTTATGAATAATTTTTTATTTTAAAAATCGCGCCAAAATCTTTCTGTCGATTGTTTGTTCGGCCTTTTGCAGTTTCGGACAAATGAAAATTCGGCGTTATAAAAATTCTGCCACTAAAAATTTCGGTGCCTAAGAATTCTGTTAATTAAAAATTCTTTAAAAAAGAAATTCTAACGAATGTTAATTTGAAAAATGAAAATTCGGGTCAAAAATAATTATATGTAATGAAATTGTTGAAAATGAAAATTCTCACTAATATTTTTTATGGGATAATCATGCACCCCGAATTTTCAAATAACAAAAATTCCAAATCACCGAATTTTTATTTATACGAATTCGGCAATTTTTAATTTCGGACAAATTAAAATTTGATGAATTGGAATTTTCTTTCATTAAAAAATTCGATTGAATGAGAATTCTGTTAAATTAAATTTTACTTAAATTAAAATTCTCTTTTTAAAAAAAAATAATCAAAAGTCCTGTAAATTAAATGACTGTAAAATAAAAATTCTGCCCAAAATAATTGATAGCTAAAAATTTTGTTATGTAAAAATTCGTATAAAAAGAAATTCTATCAAAAAGCCAATTTGAAAATTAAAAATTCCGTCTAAAAAATAATTATTTCCAATAAAATTTATTTGAAAATAAAAATTCGAATTAATGATTATTATGGTAATTTCATGCCTCACCATTTTCAATATCTAAAATTTAATTAAGATTATTATTTGTCAATTAATTATTTTAAATTAATTAAAATAATAATCTTAGGTGATATGAAAATTTAGCGTGAAAATTCCGATAAACAGAAAACTTTATTTAAATGAAAATTTGGTTTTAACAGAAACTCTGCAAAATGAAATTTGAGTCAAATGAAAATCCGGCTAAATAAAATTAAGCTTAATAAAAATTTGATTAAATAGAAATTTTAGGTACATAGAAATTTGGTTTAATGTAATTTTGGCTAAATAAAAATTCGTATCAATATAAATTTGGTTAAATGTAAATTCGGATAAATATAAATTCGGAGTACTAGAAATTTATTATAAAATTTAAATTAAATTCAATATAAATAGTTAAATGAAACTTTTGGCTAAATAAAAAATATTCATTATTTTTCATCATAACTAATAAAATAAATTGAATATATTTTTAATTTTCTTTTTTTTTTAAATTGAATATTAAAAAAAATTGAATTTACAAAATTATTTAATATAGAAATTAATTTAATTAGGTCATGTGATTGTTGTGATTTCACATCAAAATATTGTCCGTAGGTTTTTTTTCGCAAAAGACGTGATATAGATTGAGCTAAAATTTTTGTAGATCAAAAAATTAATTTTTAAAAAATATTTATTATAATAATAAACTTTTATTGTATATTTTAATGAATTTTGTATATTTAATAACTATTTTTTATATAAACCATAGTTTTTTATGGATTATGGAAAAAAATCATATTAAGTTCTGGAAAAGTCATGGAATTTTATTTGATAGAAATCGTAGCAACTTTGAATTTAATATTAATAGCGATTTCAAAATTTTAGCTAAATCTATATTTTACGAGATAACCTAAGGAGAAAATGTGGAATAATCAATCAATTTTTTTTTCTATTAGAAATAGATTTTTTAGATTTAAATTTTCCTTGTCAAAATTTAAAAAATAAAAATTTAATTTTTGCATATTAATTATTCATTTTTTTTTTTTTTTTTTTTTTTGAAACAGGAAATGGAACGGGGAATAGTGGAAACAGTTTAAAGCAACACAAAAAACAAAGGAGAAAATCGAGAAGCGGAAGTAGTTCGCCGAGTGGTAGTAGCAGGTCAAATAGCAGCAGTAGTAGTCGTAGTGGTAGCTCAGGTGGTAGTAGTTCAGGTGGTAGTAGTTCACCAGGTAGTTCACCTCATCGTACTGGAAATGTATCAGTAACTGATGATCGACGTCCATTGGCGATATGTGTAAGAAATTTGCCGGCGCGCAGTAGCGACACATCTCTCAAGGATGGCTTATTTCATGAATATAAAAAACATGGTAAAGTCACGTGGGTGAAAGTTGTCGGCACTGCCGGCGACAGATATGCATTGGTTTGTTTTAAAAAACCTGAGGATGTTGAAAAAGCCCTTGAAGTATCACACGATAAATTATTTTTCGGCTGTAAAATTGAAGTTGCACCCTATCAGGGCTATGACGTTGAGGATAATGAATTTCGTCCATATGAGGCTGAATTAGATGAATTTCATCCAAAAGCAACGCGTACATTGTTTATTGGCAGTCTTGAGAAGGATGTCACTGCTTCTGAACTCAGGAAACATTTTGAACCGTTTGGCGAAATAATCGTGAGTATTATGCTTTTTGCAAATTTTTTTTTTTTTTTCGTTTTTAAAAATGGAAATTTTTTTTTTCCAGGAAATTGATATCAAAAAACAGGGAGCAGTGACGAGTTATGCATTTTGTCAATACACGGACATAAATAGCGTCGTGAAGGCAATGCGCTCGATGGATGGTGAACATCTGGGATCAAATCGAATTAAACTTGGATTTGGAAAATCAATGCCAACGTCCTGCGTTTGGGTTGATGGCATTGGAGGTAATTTTTAATTAGTTAAAATAGAATTTTCTTTCAATTTTGATGGTAAATGAAAAATTTTCGTTTTTAGAATGTGTATCGGAAAAGTATATCAATATGCAGTTTCATCAATTTGGTCCAATTACGCAAGTGGTGGTTGATCGTGAACGTGGACACGCGTTAGTTTTCTTTGAGCAAATAAGTTGTGCTCAGGCGGCGGTCAAAGAAATGAGAGGCGCAAATTTGAGAGGACGACGTTTGCAGGTCGATTTTGCCTCAAGGGAATGTCAAGAGACATTTTATGAACATCTCGAACGACAGGGATTTGCCGGTGAAAAACCCTGGGACACGAGACCAACGCCTGCAGCAACTTTTGATGTTGCGTAAGTAATATTGTTAAGGTAAAAAAAAAGAAAGGAAATTAAAATATATTTTTTTTTCAGAAGGGAGAGAACATTTGATACGGCTGTGACGGTTCCAAATAGCGGGAGTAGATTCACACGTTATGAAACACCACCGCGTGCAAGGGCAGCGAGTTATAGTCGAACGCCAGGTGGTGGTAGTACACCTGGTGCAAGTCCAGCGCATCCAACGGCAATGTCACGAAGTAGTCGACGATCGTATCAAGATCCATATTACGAAAGTGATTACAGTGAGCCAACAACGAGACGATTTCGAAGTTACGATGAATATAGTCAGGGCAGCGGTGCAAGTCATGACGATTACGATGCGACAATTATAAATGACAGTAAGCTCAATGACGAAGACTGTCAATTGACACGAAGACATACAGTTCAAAGTGTTGTGTCAAGTATCGATTCACCAGCACCACCACCTCCTTTATTACCTCCGCCTGATATCAGGCATCTTCAAAAGGAGCGTGTTCATTTACTCGAACAACTCGAGGAGTGTCACAGTAGTGGCGATGAAATTGCATTCGCACCGAAAAAGAGGCCAAAGCTCGACGGCTCGACAACGTCGTCAATTCCCTGCGAGGATGATGAACCCGAAATTGCCTCATTGCTCGTCACTTCGCATTCCGGACGTAAAGGAATGGAAGTACGTAGAGTGAGCGACAGTAAAGTGATCATTCATCATGGCTCGCGAAGAGGTAGCTGCGAGGGCAGAGGACCAGGACCATGTAAACGAAGACGTGACGCAGCGAGACATCATGATCATCACGATGGTTCACGTCCAGGTACGCCTCTAGTCGACGAGAGACCGGAAAATTTAATCCCCAGTGAACCGCGAAGGTTTCGCGAACGCAGTCAAGAGGGTCCTCTCTCTCTACCTCTACCTAGATTCGCCACACAAATGCTCAACAACAATAACACGAGCAACAGTAACAATAACAATAGTGGTACTTCAAGGTCAACTCACGTGTCCCTAGCAAAAATTGCCAGTCCACCTTGCGCCTCAACAGTACCAATTGTCACTGCACCACAACCACCAGCGTCACCGCCACCTCGACACACAAGTCCAAGTCCCACCAGTTCCGACAGTGAGGCAGCCCCCCAATCGCCAAGTCTCGAGGAACGAATACGATCCCTCGATGAAAAATATGAAAAATGGTCAGGATCGAGAGCATTGAGCGCAGCTGGTGGCGATGCTCTTGCCAAATTAGATGCATCCGCCTCCGAACGCTTTAGGTTTCGTCATAAACTCCTTGATCTCGATCTTCACGAAGTACAACCATCCGATATTGTTAAATCAGTCCTCGCTAAACGCAGTGTATTCGATGAGGATTCAAAGAGATTGGAAAATTTTAATGAAAAATATGAACCACGTGAATTCACTGGCGTTAGTTCAATGATCGGTGGCAGTGGTACAATCACAAATGTTGGTTGTCCAAGCAAAGTGTGCCTACAATATCCATTTCCTAGTCATCCGCCAGTAACGGCGAATACAACTCCAACACACAAAAATAATGATCCAAGAACAGCAAATTGTGTAACGCCCGTCACACCAGGCACATCAATAAAAACCGTTAGTCCCGAATTACCACCAATCGCAAGTAATTTAACAGCAACAAATAATTTATCATCGGCAAATTTAAATAATATTCATTCATTGAATGCATCGACAAGTCGAGTGTCTCCAACAACAACAACAATAACAACAACAATTGTGACAAATTCAACGCCGATCTCATCGACATTAACGTCTAATCAACCTGTTCTACCTTCAACATTGTCCTCTTCCTCCTCGTCATCGTCATCGTCTTCCTCGTCTGAGATTCCAAAAGCAAGATTAAGAAAAGACTCGAAAGATTCGAAACACACGAAAAAGGAGGCGCGTAAAATTCGAAAAGACGAGTCTGAGGAGAAGAATCAATGTGACGAGAGGGAGAAACAAGAGAAAGAGGAAAGAGAACGCAAGGAACGAGAGGAGAGAGAGAGGCGCGAAAAAGATGAGGAGCGACAGCGAATTGAGAAGGAAAAACAAGAAAAGGAGCGAAAAGAACGCGAGGAACGGGAAAGAAAGGAGCAGGAAGAAATTGAAAGGCGAGAGAGACAAGAAAAACAAGAGAGACAAGAACGTGAAAGGCGAGAACGAGAGGAAAAAGAGCGAAAAGAAAAGGAGGAACGCGAGAGGCGAGAACGTGAAGAAAAAGAGCGTAAGGAACGTGAAAAAGAGAGACTGCGTAAAGAACAAGAAAAACGCGAGAAAGAAGAACGTGAACGTATTGAAAAAGAGGAACGTGAACGTATTGAAAAAGAAGAACGTGAACGTATTGAAAAAGAAAGAAGACGCGAGGAAAAGGAACGTAAACGTGAAAGAGAGGAAAAAGAACGTCTTGAGCGTGAGAGGAGAAAAGAAAAGGAGAAAGAGGAACGTGAAAAATGTGAAAAAGAAAAACGTGAGAAAGAAGATAAGGAAAGACGCCGCGAGGATCAGGAGAGAAAAGAAAAATCTGAACGTGATAAAAGAAAAGAGGAAAAAGAAAAAAATCCCGATCGAAGACCCAGTGAAAATCATGTTACACCAGCTCCAATAGCAATAAAACGTCGTTGCTCGTCACAAGACGCGCCAATTGAAGACGATGCGAAAAGAATGAAAATTTCTGATCATCGTCGGGACAGTAAAGATCGTTCGAAACAAAATCGTCGTTCCGAAGATCGTAAACATCGTGATTCACATCGTTCTAGTCGTGACAGTAGAGATAGTCGTGAAAGTAAAGATTCACCATCGCAAGATTGTGATACGAGTCGCGAGGGTAAGGAAAATAATCTCAAAGAAAAACAACGTAAAAAAAGTCGTTCCGAAAAAGAATCACGTGAAAGAAGTCCAAGAGTTTCGCAAGAAAAAGATTTTCTCACACGACTTGAATTGTCAAAACGAAATGATTCAATGAACGATCAGGATATTTCCCATCACGTCAAGGATCATCATCATCATCACCATCATCATCATCATCATCATCACCATTCTTTACACAGCGATGTTGATGAAGGTGTATTGTCAACTCATGAAATGCAAGGAATGCGTCATCCATCAGCAACCGATACAGACAGTGATGAACCGAAGAAACATTCAATTTTTGATATTGTCGATGACGAACCGGCATACATTAGTATGTATGATAAAGTAAAAGCGAGATCAACGAAAAATATGCAAAAACTCGAGGAGGAAAAAAGACAAGTTCGATTGAAGGATAAATTTTCACAATTGAAACAAAGTAGAGCGAGACGTGAGGAAAAGAAACAGAGTACATCGTGGGATGGTGATTCAGTGAGTAGTAAAGCACTCACCGAGGATGAAGGAACATCGGAGAGTGATTCAACAAGAGCAAAATCAATATCCCGTAAGGGTTCGAGATCGCGGATACATTCGGATACAAGCGAGGAGGATGAATCATTTGATAATAAAAGAACAGTTGTTAAAACAGAGAGATTTCACGAAAGTGATGTTGATCTTGGTTTTGCTGATTCTGAAGAGAAGCATAATCCATTGGAGACAAAATCAACAGTTGTTGTCAATAATGTTCGCGTTGCCATCAAAGAAGAACCAAAAACATCTGACGATGAGGAGAGAATATCATTCTCAACGAATCATCTTACAAATAATCATGAAGCACGTAAAAAATCACATAAAGAAAAACAAAAACGACAGAAAATTAATACTGAACTCAATGATGGATTATTGATTCTAGCGAATTGTATCGCTAACAATAGAAAGGAGGAAGAGGAAGAGGAGGAGGATGAAGAGGAAGAGGATGATGAGGATGACGTGAAACACAAGAAGAAACAAAAACGACAGAAGAATTCAATTGACTCGGATGATGGTCTATTGATATTGGCAAGTTGTATCGCTAATAATGGTAAAGAAGAAGAAGAGGAGGAAGAAGAGGAAGAGGAAGAAGACGATGAAGATGATATTAAACACAAAAAGAAACAAAAACGACAAAAAATTCCCAGAAGCTGCGGTGATGGTTTATTAATTCTTGCAAAATGTATCGCGAAACAATCATCTGATTTGAATAATACAATAAATTCAAAATCCCTCGATAATCCCGATGAGAGAATGCGAGCCGACAAGAACAAAAGAAATAAAAAAGAAAAACGAAGAGATAGAAACGGTGATGAAAAGACCAAAGCTAGAAGAAAGAGGCTCAATAGACAAGAAGGTAGAGATAGTCAACGAATGGAAGATATTTTCGGTCCTCTATCTGACGATGTCGATGAAACCCCATCAAACACATTCTTCAATCGTCTCACTAATTTACCAAAAGAGAACAACGTCTATCATTCCGACAGTGATGGTCCTGACGTTGAGACAATACGAAGGAAATCCGATAAGAAACGTAGACAACATCAACCACAAGATGAGAATAGCGTCGATCTTGCCGAAGCAGGTCGTGAAATCGAAGCAAAACTCCTTGGTCTACCAAATTCTCCAAAATCTGCCGTATGCACCGAATCGACAGATCACGATGTATTTCGATTCACTGACGATAATGACAGTGTTGAACCCTCAACACCAACGACAGTACCCGAAAAAATCAAGGAAAAGAAAAAGAAACGTAAAAAATCCAAGGATGAAAGAGGAAGAAAGGACTGTCACCATCATCATCATCATCATCACCATCATCATGAAAAAACCGGTGCTCTTCCATATCTTGGCTCAGAATCAAGTCCACCAAGAGCCAGCAGTCCAATTATCTCCGAAGAGATGTCACCAACTTTACCGCCGTCCAGAGAAGAAATGCCAAGTCCAATACCGAAAATTTCCACCAATATTACCGATATTTCATCACCACCATCCAACAACGATGACAAAAAGAAAGAGAAATTCATACCCGGTTATGGAATCGAAATCGATGAGACTCTACATAATAATGCAGTGAAAAGTATTTCCGAACCAGAAGAAAGAGATAAATCACAAACAGATCAAGACGATGACGATGAAGAGGAATCAACATCAACAGTTCAAACAGAAGAAAAACCAAGAGTCGCAATCTCTCAAGAAGAGACAGAAGTCGCTGTTGCCGCACTAATGGCTGAGAATTTTGGCGGACCAACCGATGACTATTCCTATGAGGACGATGAACCGGAAACAGTCTCATCAAACGAAACACCAGCCGATGCACCGCAAGAGGACGTTGAAGAAATGCAACAAGCTGTCGAATCTCTAAATGCATCATCAGGCGAAGCTGAAACCGATTTGAAACCCGATACACCACAAAGTGAGCATGATCTTCAAATTGACACCGACACCGAAGAAGATCGCAATTACGAGAACTTTGATCTCTCCCAACCGCCCAAGACACCGGATATTCCCTCTTTCTACAAGTCGAAAAATCCAGAGAAAACGGAAAATTCCATTTGTGTCGTCAAACCAGATCCACTCGGTTTGGTTATTTCCCACTTTTGGAATATCGATCCCAAAAATCGTCAAGTTGCCGAAACAAAAGAACCGCAAATATCGTCTTCTCCTTTGGAAAGAGTGCCTCTGGAAAGATCGGCTCCACCTCTAGCCGAAAGGGTTCACTCCCTTCCGGAAAGACCCTGCACCGAACGATCAGTTCCATTGGCCGAGAGATCTCAATCTCTAACTCAAGATCGACGAACGCCCTCGCCACCAACTCAATTCAAATCGGGAATTCCAGTCCTAAGTCAAGTTCCTCGCATTCCAACAGTCTCGCCAAGGGCCTATCAACCACTTCATCAACGCCTTCCAGTGACGCCTCAAAGTCAAATGATCCGTCAAGTTGCACCACGAATGCCAAATGTAGCCTCATCATCGGCACCTCTGCCACCTCTCGTTCCATCGCGAATGCCACCGTTAATCTCCTCACAATTATCACCTCGTGTCTCTCAACCACTTTCACCAAATGGTCAATGGTCGTCACGACCTCAAATTGTCAACAAATCCTCACCACCACAATCACAACCCGTAAGAATTCCAGTGAGCGTTCCCATTTCCGCCCATCGGCCCGAAACACCAATGCAACATATTTATTCCACCGCTGCTAGTCAACAGCCTGTGATACAACATGCACCTGGAATGAGAGCGCTTGCTCCAAATTATCCACGTGGTGGCCTACCACCATTGACATTGAACATTCCACCCAGACCCTATATGCCAAGTGTTCCACCTCTAACACCTGGTGTTCAAGTTAAAAGAGATACAAATCTCACTGGTAAATCAGTGATTGAAACATTAATTCCAGTAAATTCTAATGATACAAGAATTAATGAATCAAGACACGAGGATCAAAAACTTTCGCCAGTAATATTACCCGAAGTAACTAATAAGGCTTCGACATCACCCAAAGTTCCATCGCCAAATCAACCGCCTACCTACATTCCTGAAACGGCTAAAATTGAAATTGCCAGTACATCAAGTCCAATATTTGGCAAACCTGCCAATGATTCCGTTTCGCCTAGGCAAATTAATCAAAAATTGGAACCTGGTCTCTTGTCACAAAAACATGAACTTACACAAAAACACGAGATTATACAAAAACATGATCTGATCACTCAACATGATCTGATTACTCAAAAACTTGACGGTAATTTATTATCACCGAGACAAAAACAGGAAATTAATCTTCAACTTTTAACTCGTGTTTCAACTCCAAGTCCCGTGATTGTAGCTCATGGTCATCATAAAATTCAGCCGCTAATCAAAACAGTTGTTCCAATTGTTGATCACAAACACGAGGCTCGATTCAATAAATTCGAAAAATATAAAATTGAGGAAAAATCCCAAATATTGTCCGTTGCACCTTCGGTGAAAGAAATCAAGGATATGATCGATTTTCCTGAATTTAATGAAATAAAAGAAGTTAAAGAAATAAGTGAAAAAATCCTCGAGGAGAAAACTGATTCTGAAGAGGGAATGCTATTAACACCACCTGTTCAATCAGTGGAAAATAAAGAGAATATGGAAATAAAATTAAAGGAAGAAGAGGAACCAAAAATCAAGGAAGAGATCAAGAAAATAGAAGAAGATGATGAGGAGGAAAATGATAAAAAGGAAATAAAACAAGAGGAGGATGACACATCAGAGGCAACGGATCCACTTGCTTTGGATATTGCCAAAGAAGATCAAACGGATAGTAAAGAAGACAGTGATTATTGGTCAGCTAAGGAAGTCAACATTGAGAGTGTAATTAAAAAAGTTGACGCACTATGCGATGGTGAGGATGAAGATGAAGAGACTGAGAATCATGACACTAGTAAAAGTGAAGCAGACTCATGGCTCGATTCAGAATCAATTGAAGGCGATAGTAAAAAGAGTTTCTCAAACGATGATCAGGACGAGGGTGTTGAGACATGTGAAATTGAGACAAAATCCCGAAGAGGAAGATCGAAATCACGTCGAGGAAGAGGTGGTGTAACAACGCGGCGAGGTGCTAAAACAGCATCAAAACGAGGTGGACGATCAACTCGCGGTGGTAAACACGCGGAAAAAAATAAACCAACCGACGTCTATGAATTCCACGATGACAGCGAGGAAGATAACGCTGGACGTCCGCGTCTAATTCTCACTATAAAATCCCCAGGTCCAACAGCACAGCCAGCAATTCCAGTCGCAGCTGTCAAAGAAGTACCAGCCGAGGAATTTGTCTCTCCAGCTATTAACACTCGAAAATCGAGAAGATTAGCCGAAAAGGACGGTAGTCGTACCACTGTTGATGAAATAATCGAAGACGTTGTTCGAGGTACAAACAAAGGACTCACGGCAACTAGAAGAAGCACCAGGCACAATAGTCTGCCAAAGGGTGCCCAACTTGTTCCACCTCTCGAGACAAAAAAATCAACGAGAGGCGGTCGTAAAGGTCCGAGAAGAACTTCGGAAAATGAGAGCGAAGAGAAAAAAGTTGAGGAAATAAAAGAAACGGAAGAGGAGAAAATAAGGGAAGAGACAACGATTACAACAGCACCAACAACAACGACAACAACAATAACGACAACGCCGCCAACAACAACAACAACAACGTTAACAACATCAAGAAAAGCCCTCGAACCAATGACATTGATCGATCCAGTCACTGGAATGCTAATTCCAATGAGAGAATCCGAGGAGGGACAATACATCCCAGTTTCAAATTCCGGCCAACAAAAGAAAAGAATAGAAGAGAAAAAAGATGAAGAAAAAGAAACTTCTGTAACAACATCAGAGACTGTTATAACTCCAAGTGTGGTGACAACAACAACATCAATAAATCAAACAAAACCCCAGAGTCTAAAGGCTCATGTTTTAAATGCAGTTCAATCACTTCCAATTGTCGTAACAAAAACAAATATTCCAAGTCAAACAATTGTGCAAAATCTTGCAAAACCATCAGCTCAAGCTGGATTACATTTACAAATACCTTGTAATCGTGTTGCATCACCGAATTTAAGTCCAAAACTTGGAAAAACACAAGTCTCGGCAAAATCGCCAGTGTTAAATAATGTGCCAACAAATCCAAAACAACATTTATTGCAAGCCGCTAAACAAACACCATCATCACAACAGCAGCTAATACCATCAACGTCACCAACATTGCAAATTAATAGCCTTGGACAAAAATTGACGAGTAATGTACATTTGGCTGCGGCACCAGCGCAAAGAATTCATCAGGGCATTCCACAACCAACAACATTAAAGGCAATCAATGGACAATTGCATCCAATTAATCCAAAAGCACATTTATTGCAAGCTGTTGTTCCACCTGTGATGTCGGGTAATGTTGCAAGTCCACCGGCACAACAACAACATGTTATTGGACCACAACCTGTTGTTACAGGTGCAACTTGTTCACGATCAGCGCCTACTAAAACTCAGGTTTTTATATTTTTTATTACATTATAATGGGACAAAAAAAAAAAAAAGTTCGAATAATCGACGAAAAATTAAATAAATGAATTTTTTTTTTTTAAATTCGTACCTTAAAAATAATTTTCTTTTCTAATTATTATAGGTGACGGGAACAATGGAGCCACCAAAAGTGGAAATTTCAATGTCTGGCTGCATTATGGCTTCTCCTGGTCCTCAACCTCGAGGAGTTCCTATTTCAGCCTACGAGGCATCACTGGTAAGCAAAATTTTAAAAAAATTGTTTTCAAAGCATGCCCCTTTTTTTTTATTTACTAATTTCGCTTTCTTTTAACAATTACTATTTACGTGGTATTTTTATTTTTTGATAATTTCAAAAATTTATTTTAAAAAACCGCCTTTTTTTTATTCTTTTGTTAAAAATAATTATAACCGGTGGCGTTTTTTTTTTTATAAAACATTTTTTTTTTTAATAATTGCAAAAAATTTTATATGTTATTAAAAAATATCTAACATTGCTTGGTTTTGGTTAGCATGGAAGTGCGAGTGCAGCTCCATCACCAGGGGGACAGTATGGCCTTGTGCCCCCACATCGCTCCCAAAGTCCTCCATTGCCCCCTGCCTATCATCACGCTAACGCTTCTCAGGTACTTACAAGCAAAGCTTTTTCCAAAAATAAAAAAAGTACAAAAAATTTCTTCAAAATAATATTATTTAACAATTTTTTATCTGAAAAGGAAATTTAGAATTTTAATGCAACTATTCGAATTATTTTAATAAAAGCCGATTTTTTCGATTTAATTTACTTATATTGGAAATTAAATTTTTAATTTAGAAAAAAAAAATTTTTTATACACGAAACGAAAGATGTAATTTTTCTTCATTTTTCTAGGGCGATGTCGTGAATCCATATGGAAATTTATCGCGAGCCGCTGAATTGCCATCACATTACATTCATCCCTATCAATATCAATATTTACGTGCCCAACAAGAGGCATTGACGGCGCCACGAATTGCCTATCACGTGCCAGGCACAAGATCGCCACACTTGCCCTTGGATCCAAAATTGGAAGCAGGTGCCGATGAAAATCATAGTCCACCATTGGAATATAGACGCAGTACTCGTACGCCACACGAGAGAACAACTGATAGTCCACAAATTGCTCAGGTCTATATGCATCATCAAAATCCACGTCTTGCACCGCCACCACCTCCGCCACCATCGCAATATAATGCCGGAAGTGCCGTTCAACGTGGCTATTATGATCAACCACCGCCATCAGTTCACATTCAATCACAATATCCAATGGCAGCAAGTGAAGCGCCCACTGAGCGTGCAATTACGCCCGATCGAAGTAGAAAATTACAAGTGGCAACACCACCACACGCCGCTCAAGTACCACCGCAAACCGATTCATTGCCAATGCTATTGCAACGTTATCCTGTCATGTGGCAGGGATTACTTGCATTAAAAAGCGATCAAGCAGCGGTGCAAATGCATTTTGTCTTTGGTAATCCAAATGTTGCGAGGGAAGTATTGCCCTCGTGTAACAGTGATGGTTCAACGCCTCAATTGAGAATTGCACAGCGTATGAGGCTTGAGCAGGCGCAAGTTGAAGCCGTTGTCAGAAAGATGCAGGTATTTAAAAGAAATCTATTTTTTTCTCGAATTACGACGCTCTTATAAAAAAATAACTTGCAAAATGATTTTAATCTTTTTCTTTTTTTTTTATATACAATTACTAATAAAAATGCAAAAACAATTATTAATTAAATTTTTTGTGATCAAAATTTTTTCCCCTCACTGTAATTGAAACATTTTTGAAATTTGGCTTCAATTACAGTAAGGAAAGTATATTCAAACTAAACTTAGTATTCAGACTAATAGTAAAATTAAAAAAAAAAAATTTACCTGTCAAGATTATTTTAAGATTCAATTTCTCTTTTTCAGACCGATAATGAACATTGCATATTGATGGCACTTCCTTGTGGTCGTGATCATTTAGATGTGATACAGCAAAGTGAAAATCTTCAAAGTGCATTTATAACATATCTGCAAACAAAACAAGCTGCCGGAATTGTCAACATTGCTGTGCCCGGTTCTCAACAGGTAAATTTTTAAGAATTTAAAAAAAGAAAATTAAACTTTATTTATTTATTATAAATTCGAATTCTTTAAATTAATTAATTATTTATAATTATCAAATAAATTAAAATTCCAGGTTACAAATGTAATACACATATTTCCATCTTGTGATTTTGCTAATGAAAATCTCGCTCGAATTGCCCCGGATCTACTGCATCGAGTGGCAGAAATCGCTCACTTATTCATTGTGATCGCCACTGCCTGAGACCGAGTCACAATTATTGTCATCATCAACATCATCTGGATTTCAATCGTAAAAACTCTTTTTTTTTATCTTCTTTATTTATTTTTTTTTTTTTTTTCTTTACTCGCGCAAAAGAACGCTTTATCTATTTTGGCAATGAAGCCTTCCAAGTGTCGAAAGTGAAAAAGAAAAAAAAAAAAAAATTCTGTACCCGAAAAAATCCTCAATGCACGAGAGAAATTAATTTCTCTTTTTCGTTGCATCGTTGACAATCAAGCGGAAAAAAAAACAAATACTTTTAAACCACGATTTCAAAAAAAAAAAAAAAAGTTTAAAAATCGTTGAAGAATTTAGCGAAATTCCTCTTGTCTTTCGCGTGACTCTTCACTTTTTTTTTTTAAACTGTTGACACATTTTCAAAATGAGTGGGAATTAAGATCGAAAAAAAAAATTCTCACACTCGGAAATTAAAGGAAAAAATTAATTTTTATTATTGATTAATTAATAATAATTATGTAAAAAAAAATTGTTTAATGTGTAAAAATTGAAATTTTTCCAGAAAAAGAGTATTTTTTTCCCTTTGTTTTTTTTACTTTTAATTTCCGATTGTATTGCTTTTAATTTCTACTCATTTTTCTCAAAAATAATTGCAAAAAAATTTCATCTCGTGGGAAAAGTGAGAGAGAGAGAGGGGGGAAAATACCTCCTCCAACAAAAAAATAGAAAAAAAATGGACAGAAAATGAAAAAAAAAAACCATTCTACCCTCTATACACGAGCTATAATAAACGTTAAGGCATAGTTTTTAAAACTGTACCAATTTAAGCGAGCCGGCAAAAAAGGCATAACTACTGTGATTTTAATTATTTAACGATATGTATCTGCATAAAAACATAAGGAAGACCAATTCTGGTCCGCGCGCGATATGTGATGTGTTTTTGTATAAATATTACTCTTTATATTTAAATATATATGTATATATATAAATATATACATATATATATATACATATATATTATAAATATTATATAAATACCTATGTATTATATTACTTGTATCGATAGTCGCCGATGCCGTTGCTGCTCTTGTTGAGAGTTAGAAATTAATTGACAGAAAAAAAGGAAAAGGAAAAAAAGATACCTCTTTAGAAAAGGATTGCAAAAAATTTAATTCGAGAATTTTTCTATTGTGGAAAATTTTTTTCACATGAAGAAGAGAATTTTTTTTTATATCTTGAGTTTTTTAAATTTAAAAGAAAAAATTTTTTGTTTTTTTTTGTCATTTATAAAATGAGAATTTTTTGTTCGTTTCTTAAAAATGTTTTTAAAAATAAATTTTTGATTTTCTATTAAGGGGAAAAATTTTCCGTTCTCGAAATTATTTTTTGGAAAAATTTCTTTGCTAAAGAAATCTAGAGGTGAAAAAAAGGGAGAATAACGAGGACTACTACTTATGTAGCTTTATCCCTAGTGTATCATAAAAAAAAATTCCCATAGCAGGATGTAACATATTATTCTAGCGCTATGTACATTATCGGAAGATTTGTAATATTAATTATGACTCGATTCTTTATTATCAAAATATTATTGATACGATTATAATTATTAATTATTATTATTATTACTACTTCTACCGACATACTACGTTACTATTCTATGCTATTACTATACTACTACTACTACTATCGAACCTACTACTACTACTACTACTACTACAACTACCGCTGCTATTAATTATCATTAACGTTGTTACACAGGCTAGTTAGAAAAAAAACGTATTTGAACGTTGAAAATTCCCATTTTTACAAAAAAAATGTAAAAAGGGTAAATTTTACAAAAAAAAAAAAAAACGAGGGCTTAAAAGCTGTCGTACCAAAGGGTTCGACTGATCTCATTGAACATTTGACGCCGCTCCTCCAATACAAAAAAAAAAAAAAACTTCCATCCCAATTCTACGGAATTTCCCGCGTCGTTCGCAAAAAACGCCCGGCGCATTATAGACTTTAGAATCGTGTCCAAGGTAATAATGCGCTTATGTGTATAGACAAAAAAAAAAAATTACAATTATATCACACAAAATACCGTAAGAAAAAAAAAGATTACGAGTAAAAAATAAGTTATGAGTTATATATATATATATACATATATATATATATAAAATATTATTCGCTGACGCGCATAGAGCGCGCTCGCCTCTAGTGAGTAACGTATATAATGTAAAGATTTAAAAATATATAAAACAAAAAAAAAAATCTAGAAATGAAGAGAGCGTTTTTTTAGAAACTCCGAAATGATACTCGCAATCGAAGACAAAATTTTTGCATAATTTTTTTTTTTTTTTTTTTTTCTTTGTTTTTAGTTGTGAATAAAAATTATTCCCAATTTTTGAAAATAATGGGATGATTTAAAAAAAAAAAAAGAAAACTTCTTTTATTTTGACTGTGATTTTACTGTAGGGCGATGTCTTTGTATGCGATTATTGTACGAAGGTGTCATTTTAAAAAAATGAAATTATTTCCTGTTATAAATTGTTTGCGAAAAAAGAAAAAAAATTGTTTTTTTTTTTTTTTTGCAAAATTTACAAACGCTCTCTCCATTTTTTCTTCTTTGCGACGTAAAATTTGATAATTTAAGGCAGCGCAGATACTCGTTGAGCGTGTGCATGTACAGTGTAAAAGATGCGTTGTGCATATGTACAGTTATTAGTGAATAAACAAAAATATGAGCGAGCGAGATAATGAAAAAAAAAAAACATATATTACAGTTAAAAGTTAAGTATATATATATATATGGCGCATGCTTCGTGTATATTGTGCAAGAATTTTTTTTTTCAATTTCTCTATGTATTTAATTTTACAAACGAAAGTCTTTTTTGTTTCTATATATAATATATATATATAAACATAAATATATTTTGTTTTTTCTTTGGGGATATTTGATTTTAGATGATTAAAATTATATTCAAAAGCACAATATACATGTTAGCCGCGTCGAAAAAAAAACCTATCGTGTAAAATATCTGTGAATATTATGATTTAGTTTCTTCCTATTCTAGGCTACTGATATAGAAAAAAAAAGATTATGTTATTCGCATAAGGAAAATGTACAGATATCACATTTTTGTTTTGTGTTTTACTGTAGCTATTGATAATTATATGGATATTAACGATAATAATAACTATGATTAAAAAACTTATATTTCGTTTTTTAATTATTATTCTATATTTCTAAAGTATAGGAGTAGCAGTTCAAACAAAATTGGCTAGTCTTAAAAATAATTCTATAAGAACATCGGAAAGAAATTCTTTATGAATTATTAATTAAAACTATAATTTTGATCATAGGAGAATTCAAATTTGAATGGATCGCGCGCCACTTCCAATAGAGTAATATTCTCAACCAATCAACGCTTGGTGTTCTCTTGTTTCGTAATACGATTTGCGGACAAAATGTCCTCTTCTTTTTTTAAAAAATGGCGGCAAATTCAACAAATAATATAAATTATTTTTATTTTCGACTTCAAAAATTATCATTAACAATAAAATAAATAATAATAATTAATTTAGTGTATGTTTATAATAATTTAAAGGAGATTTTACCTTATAATTGAAATGAAATAAGAAAAGAAAGTTATTTTTTAAATCTTTTCATTATTTTCAGAATTTACATATGTAACCATTTTTTTTTTTTTTGCCCAAGAAATGACGAAATGAAATATATATGAAATAATTATATAATATCTATGAAGAATATACAATATTTTCTTTTTGAAATTTACACAACCGTTAAGTTATTTTATTTATTTTTTTAAATTTTTATTTCATTTGAAAGTTTTTAAATATAAAAAGCCACTATTTAATCATTTGAATTCTCAATTCACTTTTATTTTATAGCTAAAGCACAAAGTATATTGAACTCACATTTCTTTATATTTTTTTTGTATTCAAATAAAATTTTCAAAATCAAATGATTATTAATTTTATTTGATTTAGAGATGAGTTCAAAAAATTTCTTCTAAAAAGATGCTATCTACAACATTTACAAGTTTCATAAAATACAATATATTATTATTAGTTTATAATAGTTATAGTCAATTCGGTGGAATGTGTTTTTTATTTTCTTTGGCTCAATAGTAACATATTATTTAATTTTTTTGAGTTGCAAAATTATTATATAAATATATTATATAAATTATATTCATAATATAAGAAATGAAAACTTTTACAGAAAAATTTGTAATAAGACAAAGACAAGAATTTTAATTTTCCAAACGCATTTTTGACAAAAATTGCTTTACCAAATTCTATCTAAATTTTATTTAAAAGGCAAGATATTTCCTTTCAGTCTCCACAAATCCCATCTGGATTTCTTACCAGATTTTGATATAGACAATCTTTTAATTATTATTCTTAATTATTAACTATATATATATAATAAATGATAAGTTTGTCGCCTTTATTTCAATTCGAAGAAAGGCAATACTCGATGAAATTTTCCATTCTTAGATATATTAAATTATATATTATCACACACACACATATTTTAAATTTGCGGAAAATGCATTTTTCTAAATATATCTCTTTCTTCAATAAATGACTTAATATAACATATCTTTAAATATTTTTTAACACATTAAGGCCCACTGTCGACTTTATTCATATCGCGTTTGCAAAATCGAATTTCATTTATGAGCGCTATGCAATTATTAGGGTTATTTCACCTTACTGACTGATGGCAAAACAGTTTTTTTGAAAAATGAAAATATAAAAAATTACCGACGCAGGAATCTACATTACCGACCGTTGGTAATTACCGACTGATGGTAAAACAGATTTTTTGAAAAATGAAAATATAAAAAATTACCGACTTAGAAATCTACATTACCGACCGTTGGTAATTACCGACTTATGGTAAAACAGATTTTTTGAAAAAAGAAAATATAAAAAATTACCGACGTAGGAATCTACATTACCGACCGATGGTAATTACTGACTGATGGTAAAACAGTTTTTTTTTAAAAATGAAAATATAAAAAATTACCGACGCAGGAATCTACATTACCGACTGATGGTAAAACATTTTTTTTGAAAAATGAAAATATAAAAAATTACCGACACAGGAATCTACATTACCGACCGTTGGTAATTACCGACTGATGGTAAAACAGGTTTTTTTTGAAAAATGAAAATATAAAAAATTACCGACGCAGGAATCTACATTACCGACTGATGGTAAAACAGATTTTTTGAAAAATGAAAATATAAAAAATTACCGACGCAGGAATCTACATTACCGACTGATGGTAAAACAGTTTTTTTAAAAATGAAAATATAAAAAATTACCGACACAGGAATCTACATTACCGACCGTTGGTAATTACCGACTGATGGTAAAACAGTTTTTGATAAATGAAAATATAAAAATTACCATCAGTCGGTAATTACCAACAGTCGGTAATGTAGATTCCTATGTCGGTAATTTTTTATATTTTCATTTTTCAAAAAAACTGTTTTACCATCAGTCGGTAATGTAGATTCCTGCGCCGGTAATTTTTTATATTTTCATTTTCCAAAAAAACTGTTTTACCATCAGTCGGTAATTACCAACGGTCGGTAATGTAGATTCCTGTGTCGGTAATTTTTTATATTTTCATTTTCCAAAAAAACTGTTTTACCATCAGTCGGTAATTACCAACGGTCGGTAATGTAGATTCCTGTGTCGGTAATTTTTTATATTTTCATTTTTCAAAAAAACTGTTTTACTGTCAGTCGGTAATGTAGATTCCTGCGTCGGTAATTTTTTATATTTTCATTTTTCAAAAAAATCTGTTTTACCATCAGTCGGTAATTACCATAGGTCAATAATGTAGATTCCTACGTCGGTAATTTTTTATATTTTTATTTTTCAAAAAGCTGTTTTTCCATCAGTCGGTAAGGTAGATTTCTGTGTTGGTAATTTTTATATTTTTTTTTCAAAATTTTTACCATCTTGTTAATTTTTTAACCATCTACATATTAAATAGAGCACATTCATTGCGCTTTTCAGTGCTTAGTTTCACTTTTTCGTTAAAAATGAATTAATAATTTATTCAAAAGAAAAAAATAGTTATATATATATATAAACCAAACAAAAAATTTACTATTTACAATACTTAAATATTTTATCATTTAAATAAAATATTTAATTGACATTAAACCTTCAAAATTATTAATGCATGAACTTAAAAAAAACAATTAAACGAAAATTCAAGAATGAAACTAATAAAATAAATAATAAAAATTATATTCATATCACAGTTGCTAGATCGATTATCGGTATAGAAAAAAGTAAAAAATAAAAATTGCAAAATTCCCTTTGCAAAAAAGAACTCAGCACTGAATATCGCTCACAACGACGATAATTTTCTATGAAAACAAAATATTATACTGAGAAAAAAAATTATGAAAAAAATGTATAAAATAAATTTTTAGAATTATTTAGAATTGAAAAATTATTCAATAATCAAGAAATAATACAATTAAATCTCGATGGAAAATTAAGTAAGAAATAAAATTGTGAATTATTGAAAAGAAAAGAACACCTCTCAGTGTTTGACAACGGGCCGGAAGAATAATAATTATTTTCTTACTGAACGATAAATCTTATCGATATTCGATTTTTCATTTTCATTAAAACCAAGAATACTTTCAATTGCATTTAAATGACCCTGATGATTCTCCTTATCGGTGAGAAAATAATAAATAGCTGATTTTAAAAATTGTAATGTTATCTCTGGATCGAGAACAGCTTGTGTATTTCTGGATTCCACGATTCGACGATACATCGCCTGAGGAAAAAAAACAACAATTTCTTCATTAAATATTGTTCTTCTGTTTTTTTTTTTATGAATTATCAATCAACAAAAATAACACCTAAAATTCCAATAATGCAATCTCTATAATATATATAAAAAAAGCTAAAATAAGGAAATAACACAACCAAAGGAATGAAGAGGCTGTTTCTTTTCAAAGTGCTTCTTTACATTCTATAATATGTGAAAAAACACCAAGTGTGTGTGTGAAAAACAATTAAGCCAATTTTCATGCACATTTTTTTTTAAAGCTTCAATTGAAGGCGAATCATGCAATGAAATGAAATTAATATGTTAATATTAAAACAATTCATGCTAATAATAAAAACTATTTGTAATTTTTCAATATTTTCGTTTTTTCTCTTTGGCGCACTGATATTTTTAAATGTCAATAATAATTATTATTAATAATCAATATCATTAATTATAATTATTATTAATTGATAATTAAGTACGATTTTTAATCAACGAAATTATATAAATCAAATATCAAAATTTGAAATAGAAAGAATTTTTATTTTTAAATTTAAAAAAAAACTCTTTAAATTAATTACGAATTTCTTAATAATTAAATCTCTAATTAATAATTTATCTAATTCTTTAATTAATTAAGTAATTTATTTAATTAATTGGACAAAATACCTCATTAATTCTCCAATTAATTAATAATTTGTCTAATTAATTTTCTAGTTAATTACCTAATTAATTATATAATTTATCATAGTTAATTGTTTGTGTCATGATAAATGAGGTAACATGAAAATTTCGTGAAAATTTGCACAAAAATAATGTTTGTGGGCAAGTGCTCTTAAAAATAGGTGCACTGCGTGATCAAATAATGCAAATTATTATAAAAAAAGAATACATCGAAATAAGAAAAAAAATTTAATCGCGAGACATTTTGAGTAAGGAATACAGACCTTACGTGTACCAAGCACCCAGAGAGAAACAGCCTCCTGAGCACTTAATAAACACGGACTACGTTCTGCTGAACAACACGGTTCAGACGTGTAGTATGTATCCTGGAATGTGAGCAGCGGCCAAAAAAATATATATTAGCATCGTTAGTAGACAAAAACAAACAAAAAAGAATGAAAAAAAAACAAGAAAACTGTGAATTTTAAAGTGATTAAACAGTGTTAGTGAGAAAGAAAGAGAAAAGTTACACAAGGGATGCGATATCGTGAGAAGCATCAGAATCGAAAAAGAAAGACAATCCCACAATCGCGAGATGATTTTCAATGAGAAAAATTATTGTTTCGATGAAATTAAAAAAAAAAAAAAACAATGATTAGTTTTGCAGCTTAAAGCATTATTCAAAGTATACATTTCAAATTGCAAAGATAATTTTAAAAATTTTTTAGAAAAATTTCATCGACAAATTTATTTTTACAACGTAAATATGAAAATAAATAAAAATTCTTGACTATAAACTGACCTTAATATTTTCTAATTCAGCTTGCGTGACTGTAAGTTGTTGAAGGAGTTCGGCTACTGTTACTTTCGGCGGTGTTTCATGGGCGTGCTCGAGAATCTATGAAAATACAGGTCAAGAATCAACGATTGTCTCGCTATACAAAAAAAAAAATTGTCAAATAGCTCTAAGCATTTTTCAAAAAGAAAAAAATAATCTTTAAAGAAAGTAAAGTTTTCTTTTCTCTTCTTTCTTTTAGAAAAGAAATAATCTTTGTTTCAGCAAAATTAATTTTTCACTATTCTAAAAATATATTCACAATTTTTTAGAAAATTACTGAAATATTTTTTTTTTGTTACTAAAATTTATTTTTTAGCTTACCTGATCGGTTTGCTCAATTCTTGCAGCTTCTTGACCTTTGGCGAACATTTTCAGGTACATTTGTTTATTTCTCTCTTCTTGATCACTTAGCAGAGCCTTTTGCTCCGTAAGTTCGGACTTTACAGCATCGAGTTCAGTTTCCAATTCGCGAACTCGAATCTCCGCTGTGTCGACGGACGGACGAATTTCACAATATCGCGTATTTACCTCGGCCAATTGATTCAATAAACTCTCAACCTATATAATAATAATAATCATTTTAGATAATTATTAATATAAAAATTATTTTTTTTTGTATTCACCTTATCGTTATGCTTCTCCTTGAGCTCCTGAAGTTCATCAACGTGCCTACGATGCAATTCCTCAATTCTTCCCTCATAATGATTGACAAGCTTTCTTCTCTCTTCATCCCAATCAGGAATTTCGACAATTGAATTAAATGTCGAATTCGGCGAATTTTCATGTTGCTGAGCGACTAAATTATTATTATTATTATTATTATTATTGATTGTGGTGGAAGTGATATTGGCTTCGGGAAGAAAAACGGCTTCCTTCGAATGAATGGAACTATCCTCAAAATGTCCCGAATCGGCCAATGACGATGGAACTTCAGAAGAAATTTGTTTCTCAGGACTTGTAACATTTTCAAATCGTCCTTCATCTGGAAGATCTCTTGTTGGCGATTGCGGTGAGAATGGATCATTTTCACGTATTGTTGGCGCATCACTACTATCAGTTTTTTCCTCAGGACTATTTAACGATGCCTTATGAAGACGCAATTCAACAACTTCTTTCGTTAGGCGAACAATTTCCTGATTTTTCTCCTCGATTTCTTTTTTCGCCTCTTTCAAGAGAATCTGTCGCAAAAAAAAAAAAATGAAAAACATTTTTCTAATTGGGACTTTTTATTGAATTAGCAAAATAATATTTTTGAGGGAAAGAAATTTTTATTATGTAGGGAAGAAAATTACCTGAAACCTGCGAATTTGTCTGGCTGCTCTTTGCGTGGGCGTGAGATATTGTTCAGTGTCTCCACTGTGATTTGAACAATGAACAACGTATTTTCGTGATCTACCTGACCATGTGGTACCATTGAGGGCAAAACTTGCATGATCGCAGGCACTCGCTGTACTGCAGGCACTTCCATAACTTTTGACACTTTCGACATCGCTGTCGTCGAATCCAACAATACAACCCGAGGTCGTGTGAATTGGTCGCGGCCTTGCCGGCGTCAGTGATAAACTCTGAATGAATAAAAAACATTCTATATAGTAAAATGTAACAAATGTATATTTACTGTCATTATCGATCGATAACAAGAGTCTCTCTATACATTTCATCAGATACTAATTTTATATCCACTAAAATCAATAAATAGTATTATTAAAAAAAAAAAAAAAAAAAACAAGTAAAGTGCATTTCTCATTTAATCATTATAAAATTTAATTAAAAATTCAATATTATTAAAATTAGGTTCAAATTTAATTTTAATGAATAAATTAGTAAAATTAGTGAATAAACAAAGTTTTAACATAATTTTAAGAAATATTTAATAATTATATAACTAATTATTATTTTCCTAAAATTTAATGCAAAAAATTTGGTTTATTGTTCAAATATTCATTTGTAATATTAATTATTTTAAGTACAAAAATGCAAGGTAAATTTTTATTTCATATAAAAATAGAAAAGTCGAAACAAAAAGAAGGATACAATTAATAATTTTTTCATTTCATGCAATTATCATAATGACCCCCCCCCATTTATTCCTTTTAGGGTATTATTAGTTGCCTGTTACATTATTAAATTAAAAATTCATGCCCCTAAATACTGAGAATTTGAATCTAATGATTAATTAATTATCGACATATAGTAGAGTGATTGATTATGAAAAAATTTTAGATTTCATAATTTCAATTATTATAAAAATAATTTTTTAAAATTCATTAATTTTATGAAAAAAAAATTTTTTTCAAAAATTTTATATTTATATTTTATATAATTATTTTTAATTAATAAAAAATATTTAATATTATTATTATTAATATTAATTGTACCGTTTAATTAATTTTATTATTAAACAAATCCATTGAAAATTCTATCATACAATTGAATAAAAAAAAAAAAAAATTTCCAAATGAATCAATTAATAAGAAACAAAAAAATTTACAGTATACAAAATAAGGAAAAATTATAAAAAAAATTTTATATAACGTAAATTATTATTAATAATAATAATAATAATAATAATAATAATAAACAAATAAATAAAATTGAAAAAAATGATTACATCATTAAAAAAAAATCATCGACTTGTTTTCTTTCAATTTTTTCATTCCTTCTTAAAGCTACCACTTTTCTTTAAGACGCAAAACGTGACTCCAAAAGAAGACCGTCAAGTCTGAAAAGCTTCTATATATAATGTGTATCAAAGGAATATAAGTGAATGACACAAAATGTAATTTACATAATTTTTTCCATATTAAAATAAAAAAAAAAAAAAATCCACCTTGACATACCGAGGGACAACTGCGTGAATTTCTTTCGTCGTGCGAATCCATGCGATATCGACACTGGATAGATGAAAAAATCACCGAAAGGACGAATTTCCATGAAGAGAAGTTTTATTTTAAAATTTCAATCGTTTTTTTTTTAATTGAATTTTTTTTTATTTTATCACCAAAAGGACGAAAGTTTAATTGTAAAATTTCAATCGATTTTTTTTTAAAGGGAATTAATTTTTTTAAATTATTTTTTTTTTGGACGGAAAAGATTGTCAATAGCCCCCCGAGAAAATAAACACGGGGGGGAGAGGAGGGACGTGCGAAGGGTTTTTTTTTTCGCGTGTACGATATTATAACAATTGGGAACGAGACACTGTTCACCACTGACGAGGAACCTACGTGTATCGTATAATGCAATGATTGAAATCTGCGCCGACGCGCTCGTTGGTAAAGGTCAGGAGCTCCTCTCCTTTTTCTTTATATATATATATATATTTGCGAAAATCCACTTCAAAATTAGAGCAAAGAAGGCGTAAAACTTCTTACTATCAGGAAGTAAAAATTCCATAATTAAAATTTTTTTTTTAAATAAACAACGAAAAGAATCATATTATTAAACATTGCAAATTTTTTTCACAAAAAAAGTAAATTCTTTTTTTCTTAATGAAATACCGACAATTTCGCTTCTTTTTTTTTTATCGCCTGCAACAGGTTTCTAGCGAGATCCTGGGAAATCGATTATATTTTCTGCCTGCGCCTTTGATTCGGGTCGTTTTGGAATTAAAGAATCAGGTCGAAGTACACAAAGTGTTGTATTAAATTTTTTTTTTTGAATTAATAGAGAAAAAAAATTAATTCCCCATACTTTTTTTTTATTGTCTGAAATCTCAGTTAATTGAATGCCAATTGCGCACAATTTCGAAGCTCAATATTGTGTTTTAATTTTTATAGATCGTTCGATAATAATAATAACAAGACAATTCTGAGATGAAAATAATAAAATCAAAAGAATGGATAAAAAAAATAAAATCGGAAACAAATTAAATTAATTAGAAAATGAAATTTCAGAAATAATTTCAGAATTTCAAACTAATCGATTAAATAATTACCAAAAATTTATAATTAATTAAAATTAAAAAGAAATATTTTTAAATATAATTAAAAGTAAAACTTACAGAAGAACGATTTCGTGGTGTATCTGATCCATTTTCATTGATAATGGGAAAAAATTCATGCGCATTCAATTGCGATTGAAGATAATTGTGATTGCTATTGTTTCTTATTTGATAATTATTATGAATAGTTGAGCTGACAATTGGCGATCGTAAATGTGAACCACGTTCACCACGCAATCGTAAACTTGCTGAGCGTCTTAATGCAGTTGGCGATGGTCTTGGAATTCGCGATTCCATTGATGGTGAAATGGCGGAACAATTCTTTTCTGTTTCCATCTCATTTTCGGATGTTAATTTTTTTGTTGTTGAATTCATTGTTAATGATGACGATGATGTTGGTGTGAGAACAGAATTTCCTGTTGAATTCATTGTGAGTGAATGCAATGACAATGAATCCGTTCCTTGACGAGCCATTCTGCTCGTCCAACTCATTCTATTATCTGTAAAAAAAAAGAAATTTAAAAAAAATAAAATTGATCACAAATCACTAGAATTTCAATTTTCTTTTATTTTTAAAGATTTTATAATTTTTGTTTTTCTCCAATTTAAAATTTTTTTCCACTAAAAATAAATATAATTTTTTCTTCACCGAAAACGAAATTTCTTCTTTCAAATTTCAAAAAAAAAAAAAAAAAAAAAACAAGAAATAAAATAATAAATCTATTGTCTAGTAACTATTGAGAGCAACAAGATAACAGTTATTGAAAGATAATACAAAAACAGTTACTTCTGATCTTTTTAGTTCAAAAAATGATAAAATAAATTTCGTGTTTTTCTTTTATTTTTTTCGTTTCAAAAGAATTGAATTGCAACAACAATACCTTATAAGAACTTTTCCAATCTTTGACAAAAAAAAAAAAAAAGAAAATTATTTTGTGAAAATTCCCACGATCTTCTTTATTCATTGAAGAATATACAGTTAATCATCATTAAAATTGCATAACAGTTAATTCTTTACTGACATGTACGTGAGAGATATACGGTATCTTAATAAGACATAAAAAAAAGAAACGTTATGCAACGAGCGCGACCGTTCTTTTTATAATAAGGGTCATCCGGAAGTAGATTAAATTTTATATTAATGTCCACATTGCAAACCATTTTTTTCTCTCTACATTCCTCGAATGTATAATTAATTTTTCGTTATCTGTTACTATACATACATATAAGTACAAAAAAAAATTTTTTCCTGTAAAATTCACAAGACAAAAAAAAATATTTTTATCCAAATTTTTGAAAGAAAATTTGTTTAATAATTAAAATTATCATTACTTTTAACTATGATATTTTGAAGAAAAAAAAAACCAACTGAAATTTATAATTATTCAAATAAATTTTATATTAACTTAAAGGAATTTATCAAAACACTAAATACTTTCATTTTACCACAACTTGTTTCTAAATGACTCATGATTAATAGATATTGTTTTTCATTTTTTTAATGTCGAAATCAAGTTTAATGACTAGAAAGGAAATTATTTACTAATGCGCTTAAATTTTCAATTGCACTTTCAAAACTTAAAAAACTAAATTTTTTTTTCTATATAATTTCTATTTTCTCTGAATTAAAATTTAGATTATTAAATTAATTAATTAATTAATTATTAAATTAAAAATTAAAAACAAAAACGTGAAAAATTTTCGTAATATTCACAAGAAATAAAAATATTAGAACAATGGAACATAAGAAACATTGTAGTTGATATTTACTTGGATAAATTATAAGCTCATAAGTCCTGTATGAAAAGACATAATGTATAAGATAAGAGGTCAAGAACTGATCGATCATTTTCGAGTCAATGATCGGAGTTACGGGCTTTAACCTAAGTTTGATTTTATTTTATTCTAGAATATTTATTAACTAATCGACTAAATCTTAATTCAATTTTATATATTAATGTATAAACTAAAGAAAATTTTGTAATTTTTTTCTTTTCCTTTAGAAAATAAATTGAACACTTTTCATTACAATAAAGAATTAGAAATAAAAAAAATAAAATTTAAGGGATAAATTTTTTTTTTGCAAGTTTTCTATTTTACGGAACGATAGATCTCGAAATTTCCGCACGGATCGGTGCCTTTTTGCTGATTGTGAATTTGCACTTAAAATCATTGACCGAATCGTGGTACATATAAAACTTGCTTTTTAAATGTGAATCTGTGATTGTAAATGAGAAACAAGTTTCACGAGAAGAAAAACCGATTTTAAAAAAAAATTTATTTTATTATTAGGTAATTTAATTATATAAATCAGATTTCTATATATATAAATAGTTGGCGAAACTTTCTGTTAAAATAAATAAAACTTATTTTCCGAAACCTTGAAACAAAACAAGAATATTCTTGAATATTTAAAAAATAAAATTAACACTTTTGAACTGAATTAAAAATTTTTTTTCAACAAAATATTTTACAATAAAAATAATTTTAATAATACAATATTTTACAATAAAATATTATATTCAAGAGAAATAAAATAAAAAAAAGAAATAAGTATAGAGACAATTTTTTTTTTTTATCTTTAACAATAGTTGATAAAAATTCTTGAAATAAATGGAATTTTTAAAATGTATAAAATAATTTTTCAAAGTTGAATTTTTTTTTCTTCTAAATATTCAATAATATTTTAGACAGTATTTTAGGGGGGGAAAAAATAAATAAAAAAAAATTTCCCTTATCATTGACTAAGAAATTTATTTAAAAAGTTAATTTTTTAATATATTATTGCAAAAAGTGCATTATTCACGTATTTTTAAAATTGTTTTATTTTTCCATTTTTTCTCAAATCGATATTTCATCACAATAAAACAATTTTTTAAAAAACAAGAAAAATATTTCAATATTCTTTATATATATATATATATATATATATATATATATATATATATATATATTCAAACAAGAAAATACTAAAATGTATTTTTAAACTAAATAAAAAAAATATATTTTTGAAAGAAAATTTCCAAATAAAAAAGATATTGTTATTGTATAAATTAAAATAAAAATTTACTTTTATTTCTAATTTAATAATTTTTTTTTTAAAGTTTACTTTTATTTCTAATTAAATATAATTCTAATAAAGTTTATAAATAAAACATATTGATAATTTAATTTAATTTTCCAAAACATAAAAATTGCATTTAAATATTGTCAATAGAAATGTTTTTCCTTTTTTTTAAAAAACAAGTATTTAAATTTTTAAATATATATAAAATCGATTCATTATTTACTTTAGATAAGAATTTTTATCAGATTACTATAGAAACGATCTGTTAGAAAATATTGCAAAATAATCGACATTTATATGACATAAGTAAAGCGCAATGACAGAATTAAACACGTGACGTATTCATTCTCAAATTAACAAACTGTCGCTGTCAAAAACTAAATGCCACGTAGCTTATGAAATTTTTTTTTTATAAATAATCATTGATTTTCATTGTTAAAAAAAAAAGAATTCACCACATATATGTAATAAAAAAATAAATAAAAGTAAAAACTCACCATTTGTATATGTAGAATTCAAAACATTTTTTTCCTCACAAAATCTCACAGCAAAATTTTTGTTTATAAACACACAATTTGCACAAATCGAGAAAAATCTGGTTGAATCATGTAAAAAAAAGGGACTGAATTATTTTTTTAACAGTCAGCTGGTTGTAGAGAGAGAGAGTAAAATTAACTATTGCTTTTAGATGTCACTATTTTCCTTTGAAAACAACTAATTCCCTCTGGCGATTAATAATAACACTATCATCTCAAAAAATACTCGATCGATATCAATTTTATTCTCACCATCTATACAAAAAAAAAGAAAACAATTAAAATAATAAATTAATAAAAATCAAATTTTTAAAAAGTATGAATTTTTATTTAAAAAAAATTTGTCAACTTACTATTAAAAAAAAAAAAAAAAAAAAAAGAAGTGTTCAAGCGGAAGAAATACAGAAGTTCTTCTCTTAATATTAAATCATAATTTTTTTTTTTGCAAATTATGTCTTGAGACTATTTATTAATTCCGTTAAATTATTTCGTTTTTCAGAGACAAGTCTTTTAACATTCTCTAAATCACAACCTTTAACTTTTGAATGTTTTGTTACATATTCCGTGAGAATATCAGTAATACACATCACATAAATTCCACAATCATAACAATTTTCTTGTTGTGGTGAATTAACTTCAATGAATGTTCCATTTTTATCACCAATTATTAAATATTTATCAAGATTTCTTATAAAATTACGTGCAATTATTTCATTTGATTTAGATAATGAATCAAAATGAAAATATGAACATTCAATTTTTGAATATACCAATAAACTCCAATGTGAACCACCAGATGAATTTCTTCTTTCACAATTATTTAATGGAAAGAATATAAAATTTTTTTGCAATGCATTTAATGGATCAAGAAAAAATGACACTTCTGATGAATCAGTCATTTTTAATAATTGCGTTAATTCAGGACTTGAATAAAGAATTTTTGCAAAATTTGGTAATTTCAATGTTTTACCCAAATATTCCAAATAAAATCCAATTAATGCATCATTTATCCAATTTGGTTCGATTAAAAGATCGACATCCGATTTACGTAGTAGACAATCGTGATAACTTAATATTATTTTATCAATGTCAGTCATTGTTTTTATTTTTGTAGTTTTTAAGTTCTTCTGTAAAAAAAAAAGTTTTTGAGGTTATGTTAGACGGAAATTTACGCTATATGTAAAAAAAAAATGAATGTTCATTTATTTTATATGACTTTTGTTTGTTTATTATTTATAAAAATATATTTACACTACTTACGAATTATGTATTTATCATTATTTTTTTTATTTATTTCACGTTGCTGCAAATATCAAAACAACGTCAAAACGAGATGCTAAGAGCTTACTTTAATACTCGTTTGGTGGCTCTGTTGTAGTTTCGAAATTTCGAATGGCGCGAATTTTTAAATTTGACATTTAAAATTTACTTTTATATATTATTTATTATTATTACTATTTTTTTATTATTATTAAATTGGAATTTTTTCAATATTATTTTTCACGATAGGAATAAAATAAATGTAATATTAAAAATTAATTCCAAGAATTTTCAATAATTGCTGACTTTAAAAAAAAAACATAAAAAAGTAAATAAATTCAATGAAATAAAGATAAATTAATAAATCAAGTAACAAATAAAAGAAATTGTTTAAAAAAATCATTTTTTAAATATATTAAATATTTTTTAGATAATTATTAATTAATTTAGAAAGATTAATTAATTTAATTTAATTTAGAAGAGAAAAAAAATTAATTTACTATAGTAAAAAAAAATGTTTAAATTCCAATGTTTAGTGAATTAAATATCGTTCATAAATTTTACGACAGTGAATATCAATGAGTCAATAAGAAAGTGACATTACTGTCACTGCTAATTATCATATTATTATTCTTTCAACTTACATAGTAGGTTACAACCTGAACACAATGTCACTGAAAGTTATAATTTACTAATTCTACGAAATATTTAAATTTTAGTTTTAGATTTCTTTTTTAAATTCAATTAATAATTATATTCTATTTTGTTATTTTGCATTTAATCAACTGTATAGATTTAATAAAATTCATGGTCGAAAAAATATTTGTGTCAAAGAAATTGTTACTTTAAATAAGAAAATAATTTTAAATTAATTTCCGCAACACTAATATGCTCTTCAAATGATAATATAATTGTATTAAATAATAAATTATAGAAATAAAAATGTTATCGTAAATTATTATTAATAGTGAAAACAATAATCGAAAAAGAAAAGGGAATGTAATGTAAAAAAAAAATTTACCTGCAGTCTTGTTCTGAAAAAAAAACTACAAATATACATTATTATTAATTAAATAAATACACTGAAACCTCATTTAATGTGTCACTGGATGTTACTCAATAACTCAAGTTTCAGTGTATTTATTCGATTCGAAAAAATATTTTTTGAATTTGTGGAAAATTTCGACTTTTTTCTAATTAATTTTCTATTTTTTTAAAAAAAATTTCTCTCAGTGGCAAAAATTATTTTACATTAAAATTTTATTTATATAATGAAATAAAATAAAAAATTTATATTTTAATAAAAATTCATTTGAAGGGTGTTTTTAAACTTTTTTTCGGAAGTTCCTTTCTCCCAAAAAATATTTTCTCTACAAATGGAAAAATTCCTCGAAAATTGTTTTTTTCAAAAATTATTTTTTCTGAAAAAAAAAAACAATTTTGGAAAATTATTTTCTCATTTAAGGAAAATTTTTCAGTTTCCAGCATTGCCTCAAGTATAGAAAGTAAATCTCACTAATTTAAAATTTAAAAAAAAATCTCTAAATTTGCAAAAAGAAAAAATTAATTGAAAAATCATTACTGCCAAGTGGGAAAAAATTTTCCCTTAAATAAGAAAAATCATTTTTAATTCTAATCAGATTAAAAAGTTCTAATGAACGTACGTGGTTTCTTGATACGGCGCACATGGGTTTTTTTTTTTTACTGGTAAATACGCGAACGGGGGCCCTCGTGACACACATCAATGGCCAACGCTTCTATAACGGTACCACCTTGTGACCTACTCTCTCTCGTAGAAGCTCTCTTTCTCTTTCTTTCTCTTTTCTTCTTCCTCGTGATTGAACTTTTGTGTATATATCTTGTGTATATGTGTGTATATATACTCTTTTTTTTCCTCCACAATCTCTCTTTCTCTCTCTCAAGTGTGGCCTTTCCTTTCCTTTTTTTTCTTCTTCTTCTTCTTTTTTTTACCACCATCAGCAGGTTTCCATCTCTTTCTTGCGCGAACACTTGACTACGATCCGAGCAAAATGTGTGGTCAGACTTATTTCAGAGACTCGACGATGATCGGGGTACACACTTTTTCCTCATGAGGAACTTCCTCTGATGGCTATAAACTCAACGATTATAGGCAGAGGCAGTAATGAAAGCGGCCTGGCTCGTGAAGGTGCTGCTTGTCATGTGGCTGTTGCATCCCATTTTTAAGTTGCACCCTCGCTAGCAACTTATTTATTTTTTTTTTTTTTTTATTTCCGATATACTGAAAACAAATCACAATCATTCATAGGAGCCTTAAAATTGTGACGTCAACAGTGATCGATTAGTTTCAAATTTTTTTTTTCTTTTTTTTTTTTTGAAGAGCAAAAGAAGAAATTGAATTTTCTTTTAAGAGAAAATTCAAACCCGATTCCCTTCAATTCTCGTAATATAATTGCCGGAAGATATGAGAGTTCTCGTATTCTTGACTCTTTTGGTGAGTCGATGAACTGATCAAAAAATTCTCTTTTTGATAAAATGGAAAATCCTCTCTTCTTTTGTGTTGTCAAGTGATTATTGTGAAGTGAAAAGCTTCCTGAAAAAAAAATCGAATTTGGATATAATCATCTCATTTAGAAATTACATTAGTTAACAAATTATTTTAATATTAATTTGGTTTATATAAATTATTTTTATTATTATTAGATAAATTATTATTATTATTATTATTATTAATGATAATATTAAATTAATAATTACAATTATACAAATATAAAAAAAATTGAAATATTATTGAAGTTTCTTTTATTAGAAAATTTCAGCGATTTGAGAACAGTTTAGTTGTGACAGCATTTGGCAAAACTTAGTAATAAAATTTCGAAGAATTTATTAATTTATTTTACAATTTTTAATTTTAATTAATTAAAAATTTAAATTAATAAATTTTCAGATATTAAATGAAATGAAATTTTTTAATTTTGTCAATTTATTTCGTTACTTCTGTACTTAATTTTGTAAGTAATTGTTTTTCTATTAATTAATGTAAATTATAAAGAGTAAAACTTTTGTAAAGTGTAAATTGAAAAAATAAATATTTTAATTACTTCAATTAATATAAATTTAATTAATTTCTATAGAATAACTTAATTAACAAAACAAAAACCAAATTTCTTTTAAAATTCGTTTCAATTTTCTTTGATAATTTTGATCATAGACTATCACTAATGAATCATCTTAAATGTATTTTGAAAAATATCAAATTTTCTAAATTTCAAAAGATTTTTAAATTCGAAATTGTTTGGAATCATTTTTTAATACTATAATAATAATATTTAATGAAAAATTTAATTAATCAAAATATTTAACAATCGTTGGCAAAATATTTTTTAATTGAACAAAATCTTGATCAAAGGATCAAAATATTAATCAAACAATCAAAATATAACATTAGAAGTTTATCAGACTATCAAAATACTTCCACTAAATGAGGAGGCAATAAATTTATTTTTAATTTTGATTTGTAGTTGAAAATAATTTTAACGAAATTTGTTTTATGAAAGGAAAAGTAATTTGAAAATAAACATTGAAAATAAATATTTATGACAAAGGAATTCTTTTAATAATAAATAAATTTTGTTAAAATAGTCCAATTTTTTTCAAATTTAAATTGTAAGCGGATATTTAACAAAAAATAATATTTAATTTCCACGTGGCAAAATCAATCGACAATCTTCTTCGAAAATCAACCTTATCGACACGATTGAAGAAACAAGTCTAACGGTATTCCCGATATCTTGTAGTATGCAGAAATGCATGTTTCATTTTTTTTCCGAAAATTAAAAATATCATTTCTTTAAAAATTCCAACAACTACAAATCGAATTTAAATATAAAATTCATACATTCTTTTGAAATTCTTTAGGATACTTTTTTTTTTTTTTACTAAAAAATTGCATTTTTATCATTAAGAAAAAATCGAAAGATCAATTCGAAATTGAATTTCTAGAAATTTTTTTTTTAGAAGATTTTCGCTTGCGGTTTTAATGACAAGAAGAAGAAAGTACCTGAGTGAAAAAAAAAAGATGAAAATAAAACAAGTAGAAAGGAGAAAGCAAATTTCAAAGAGATAAAAATAATTTGATTGCAGGTAGTCAGACTGCATTTTGCGAGATGTCAGGGATTCGGAGGAGGTGGTCCAAGTACTTTCGGATATGATGCATCATCGGCATGCAGTAAACCATATTCACGTGATGCTCGAGTTTTATTTGAAAATCTCCCTTGCGACTTTCGCCGACAAAATTGGTGCACAATCGCTGGCAACACTTATCCATGGTTAGAGAAAATCATCACAAATTCTTATAGAAATCGATAATTTTTTTTTTCAAAAATATATAAAGATATCAATTTTAATTCTTTACAGGCACGCAGTTCGAAGATTCGTGAGGGAAAATCAAGGCCTAATGAAAAGAATGTATGGCGATGAAAAGCATATTAATATTTTAAAATCAGAATTCGAGAAGAATGATATTGAAATTGAAATCGAATACAACTATCAAAGATATCCGGAAAAATCCAGGTGAGATTTCTTGAATAATAAAAAAATGAAATAATTTTAATTTACAATTTTTGATAAATTCCTCTCAAATTAATGAATAAAATTTATGATTCAAGGCGCTTCGATTATGACGATTGGGAATTGAATGATCCGCGATATCCCAGTGTCCTTGACGAGGAACCAGAGAGAAGAGGATTCACGAGTCGATCTTTAAACGATGATAAACTCAAGATGGAGAAAAAATTTATCAAATTGGAAGATCGTGTAAAATCACAAATTAAGTTCTCAGAAAATCCATCGACTTCTGAATCAAGTTCAACGACATCAAGTGCAACTGAAAAAATATCGACATCAAAAATAACATCAACTACAACAACAACAACTACTACTACAACTACTACTACAACTACAAAACCGATATCATCGACTACATTCGCAACAACAACAGTAAATACAACAAATTTGAAATTTAATACAACATCTCCAAATATGGAAAATAATATCGAATCACTTTCCACCTCAGCTCCAATTACATTGGCTGATATTGCAAATATTCAAAATTTTAGTATTAATGAAATACCAGGACGAACTGCCGAATTAAATGAGGAAATTTCTGACGATGAATCGACGACAAAATTTTCAAATTTGTTGAGTATCGATCGAATCGATGAAATTGTTGACAATGACGATAATAATAATAATGATAATGAAGAAGACACAGTGGAAGAATCAATTGATCAGCTTGCGGAAGAGAGTGAAAAACATCAGGAATTTCGACCTAGACCCGAATATCGTCCAACAGAGACAAAAACTAATAGTTCAAATATGCAAGGACAATTATTTCAGGACGTTGCTGGCAAGGAAAAACAAAAACAACCAGTTTACAAGGGCCAAGGAATGTGAGTTCTCTTTTTTTAAAGAAAATTTTATCATTCTTCAATTTAATAAAAATCACGACGATTTTTATGATAAAAGAAAATTCGGGACAAATGACAATTATTCAGCTAAATAGAAAATTCGTTTTTAAATAAAAATTCTCTCACTTGCGAAAATCGATTAATAAAAATTCAGTCAAATGCAAAATTTTTCAAAAAAATAAATATTCGATTAAGAGAATTTTTTTCAGTCCAAAAAATTTCCAACTATTGAATAAAAAATTAAATTATAAATTATTCATATCTAATTGAATAAATTTATAATTCATAATAAATAATTAAATATATATATAAAAAAAATAAGAATTAAAATAATACTAACTTGAAAATAATTGTTGACAAACATTGTTCCAAGGCAAATTTAATTCTTGATAAATAAATTATTTTTTTTTTTCCAGAAACGCTTGCCCAGTAAAAGAAGAAGTTGTGGCTCCATTTTGGGCGAATAATACACGAGGTGAAGTCCTGGCTCTATTGAATCTTTATCCTTTTGAGCAATATGTCCATTGGGAAAAGTGCACGTAAGTGAAAATTTTTGTCTGCAAATGAAAATAATTCATAAAAATTTGTATAAAAATTTCAAAATTCAAATTCAAATTCAAATTATAAATTAATTAAATTAAATATTAATTTAAATATAGCAAAACAAATGTTAATTATGAAAAAAAATACCTGTTTACAGACACGAGGATAAACAAATGAATTGCCGCGATGGTTGCAAATGTGAACAACAATATAGATTACACAGATTATTGGCCTACGATCCAAATAATGAATGTCGTGGAATTTTTAGCGATTGGTTCAAATTTCCCAGTTGCTGTTTATGTCGCTGTTACAATATTCCTGTTGAATTTCGTGTCACATCTCGCTCACCTCGCATGAGAAAGCAAAAAGTTAAATTACAAGTTTCGCGAAATTAATTACAAAAATTAAAAAGATTTTCAATTTTTCAATCGAAATAGAAAGTATCAATAAATAATAAAATTTTGAAAATAAAAATTCAAATTTAATTTCTATTTCAATTGAAAAACAAAAATAATCTAGTTTTATAAGTTAAAAAAAAAAAAAAAGTGCGTTAATCCAGTGAAAAAAAAAATCAGTTATTTCAATTTAACATCTGATAACAATCAATGGAATAACTCATTTTTTTCTGGTTTCCGAATTTGAAATGCAAGGCTCGTGATTGAAATGATTTCGCCATTTTCTGTTCTGAAAATATTTATAGATTTAAACTTGTAATATTTATTTATACTTGATAAGTGAATAGTAGGTGCAGAAATATTAAGAAATTTCTGCTTTCTCAAAACTAATCTAAAAAGAAGAAATAAAATAATTTTTTAATATTTTAAGAAATTAATATTTCTAATTGCACTAAAATAATATATTTTAATCAATTTATCACAATTACTAAAAGCAAAATAATTACTTATTTTAAGAGCCTCACATTTGACACTAAATTAAAAAAAAAACTGTTTCTAATCCTATTTTTTAAAAAAATTTGTACGATTGAGAATTTTTTTATTGTAATTTTCTTCTACAATAAGAGAACGATATCTTTTACAAAGAAGTTATAAACAATAATAACGAAAATTAACGTTAATACTTTTTTTTTGTTTTCTGGGCTTCCACTCAAAAAAAAAAATTTTAGAGCAGCTCAACAGTAATACTTATGCGCCTACATTACACTTTTTAATCAATGTCACATATACATATAATAATAATAATAATAATAATAATAATAATATATATTTTTTTTAATAATATTACAAACGTCGTGTTGTCGTCATATCGTTTAACAACATATGTATGTACATATAAAATAATATATACACACATATCTATATATACGTATGTATGTATAAAGAAGTCGTATGTAAATATATAGAAGTTTTATTTATATATAATATAAATATGGGTTATTTTTTTTAACATTTGGTATCAAAACCATTGCAGGAAAAATCTTCGAAAAAATGTAACTTCAAATTTACCCTCGAACAATAATTTCACAAATATTAATTTTTTTTTTCTATTTCAATTCCTTTTTTTGTTACTAGTTTCTATTCTACAAGCACGTTATAAGAATAGTTCCTCTTTTTTTTGTTTTTTGTTTTTAGTACAAAGTCGTGTCCCAGTAGAAAAGTGGACTTTCTAAACTCACCTACTTTTTGCCTTTTCATTTCTTTTTCTACATAAAAGATGACGATTCATTTCCCCATTCGTATTCACTAATTATTATTGTGATCTCGCTCCTTTTTCTATTATATACCCTGAATCTATTTTAAAAAACCTGACTTTTTTTGTCAGATTTTTTTTTTTTTATTAAAACAAAAAAAAGTAGTTAAAAATCTCAAAAAACAATTTACAAAATAATTTCATGGAAATTTTAATTAAATTTCGAGTAATGAAATATATTATTTCATTTAATATATAATTATTATTAAAAATTATTTGAAAATATTTCAATTTCTGAAAATCTTGGAAAAAATATTCAGATTGATTTTTGAAATCATATATATATATATATATATATATATGTGAGGAAAATTTAATTTTCCGTAAAATCTAAAATCACTTCGAAAATTAAATTTATCAATTTCAAAGTCATTTAAATCACAGAAGGTACGGACTAATTTTCTAATTCGAAATTTTTTTTTTTATTTATTTGCAATTCGAATTCATTTTTTCTATGTTTAATTAATTATATGATTAATTAACTAACTAATTAATAAAATTATTAATTAATTTGTTAAATAATAATTTAAATGATAAATTAACAAAATTCATCAACATTAATTAATTAACTAATTAATTAAACAATGAAAAAAATATTCTAATACAAATTGACAACATAAAAAGAGTTTTTTTTTTCTCTATGGGACAATTAAAAATGTATCACAACCATTTCGAAGGCTAAAAATTCGATTTAATTTTCTAATTCGCAAAAATCTAAGACTATTTTCTTTTTTAATAATCTCACTCGCTTATTTTCCAATTTCTTTTCTTTTTTTTTTTGGAAACGAGCTCCAATTATACGAAGACTGTATTTGGCTTTTATATATAATTTCAACAAGTTTGAGCATTTTTGTCTTGTTCCTTTGAAAAAAAAAAAAAAAAAAAAAAAATTAAATCGAAAAATTCACTAATCAACGAATAAAGTTCTATTTATTTTTTCTGAATTTAAAAATTATACTTTCACCTGCAAAAGTAATGATCTACAAAATGCATTGTGGGAAATAAAGTTTTACTTTTTTTTTTAGCAAAGTTCTCGAAAATTATCTGGATTTTGGAGAAAGATTTTTTTTATACAATTTAAAAAAAAAGTTTCGTTTAACGCCATAAAAATGATTGATATTAATTTTGAATATTTCTCATAATAAATTAAATTTAAATTATTTAATGTAAATTTAAAATTAAATTTTAATTGAATAATTTGAATTTTCAACAAGGAAAAATTAAGTAAAAATAAAATCCAGAATATTTTCAAGAATTTTAAAGATATTTTTTTTTTTTGAAGAAACCTACACCAATTACAATATTTCTGTCTATAAAACTACAACAAGAGAAATTGAGAGGCGGAAAATTGTGATCCACCAAGAGAAATTTGAAGAAAAACCCGAAAACACCAACCAGAGAAGAATATACATAGAAGAAGAATAAGAAGAAATAGAAGAGAATAATGAGAGCATTATAGAATCACGGAATAAAAGTGAGAAAAAACATGAAAAAAGAAGAAACATATTGTAAATTGTAGAATACTATTCGAAGACTAGTCGTGATTTCCGTCATAACGATCCCAAGTCGGACTCTAAAAAATGAAAAAAAAAAATAATAATAATAAAAAAGTAAAATTCATTAGAATCCTAAACGTGGATCAATAAAACGTAATCTACGTTTCCGCTTCTTAGCTACGCAGTATATCACCATTTACGCTTTAATGATCATCGTAATAATAGTCATTTTTTTTTTTTTTTTTTTTTTTTTTTTCTTTTAAGTCGAGATGAATGCACCTGGCTTTTATATGCTAAATTGAGTTTTTTTTAAGGTCGATATAAATTATCGTAACATTTAACTTAACTGTTTTCTGTTCTTTTCTTATTTAAAAAAAAAAAAAAGAAAAAAAAAATTAAAATCGTGCTTGATGCAGAATATCAAAAGTGCGTCACTAAGTATATTTTATATATATTTATATAACTATTTTCATATATACACAAGGCGTGTCAAACAAGTTTCCTGATTTTAAAACAATAAAAATTCCTCGTCGAATTTAATTTTTAATTAAATTCCAATAAATATATATATATATATAAAATGGATTCTCCTTTGACTCGTCTCGTTTACAATATTAATTAAGGCGCATAATTATCGTTGAAATTCGAATTATTTCATTTATTCGATTTACAGAATTTATAACGAACGATTTGTAAAAATATTAAAAGCTACGGTACATTTGGTAAATTAATTATTGAATTAATTCAGTTTATTAATATATTATTGACAACACTTTTTCTTGTATTTTTATTTTATTCCATAATTAACACAAATTATGCTTTTTTTTACTTTCAGGTTTTTCATGAATTTTTGCTTATTGCTAATTAATAATTAATAATTAATATTAGCAAAATTGTAATTCACAAATAAAAAAAAATCAACAAATATCTTTTTGAAAAATATTTTCATTGAAATAATTTATAAAATTTTTAAAATAATAATTTAATAAATAATTAATAAATTAAAAAACATGTTAATCAATAAATTACATTAATTTTCATAATAAAAAAAAAATTGTAATAAATCAATCGATCATTAAAAATCCTCAAAATTGCAAATAACTGAAAAATTAAAATTTAAAACAATAATCACGCACATTAATTATATTAATCAATAAATATATATATATATATGTGTGTTTATTTACACATACTATAATGTATTTTGTGTCTGTATATATACGATGCCGATAATAAGTGAGTATGGTCCGATTTTTAAAGATGATATGTCATCAAGTATTATAACTTTTATCACAGCGATGTGATTAAAAAATTCTCATTTATCACGTTTCTAATATTTTGTTTAAAAAAAAAAAAAAAAAAAAAAAAACAGTTTCACAGAATGTTTACTAAACTCGGAAAAAAACACAACAAATTCTAATTTTCTTTTACAATGAGAGAAAAAACATTATAAATCGTAGGTATACAATAAAATTCAATTTAACATTATTTAATCTAAAATTTTCTTTTCGTCTCGTTAAATTAAAATTTAAGAGAAAATTTGTTCCATTCCCTAATTTCAATATTTTATAAATATTTTTATACTTAAAAATTGTATGATTATAAATAATTATAAATAATACTAATTGAATAATTAAATTCAAAAAAAAAATTCCAAATTTTTGTGACAAAATTAATTTTAATCTTAAATTTGTTAAAAAATGTTCATAATTTCCGGTCAAGTAAAACATTCTCGAAACCAATAATAATGTGTAAGTTAACTTCGATTAAATCTCGTGTTAGTGACGAGATTAAAAAAAAAAAAAAAAAATTTCTCAACCCAAAATCGTAAGAAACAAAAGGAAAAAAAAAGACTAAATTTCTAATAATCTCGTCCTCATTTGCCTATGAAAATTAAATTAATAATTATAGAACCCCCCCTCCCCCTAACTCCATTAATTAAATATCAATATTCTTTTAATTTTTGGTCTCTAGTATGTAACTTACGCCTATATATTATTGTTTTTTTTTTCCTTTTTCTTTTTTTAGATAGAAAACTCAATTTGACGATGAAAAAATTCACAATCTCGACAATTACGAGTCGCACTACCCAAAAGTTTACCTCAATCACTGAATAAAAAAAAAAAAAAAAAAAATACTTTCTTGAGATCATATAAAGAAAAAATACATCGGTTTTTTTTCAAATGCAAAAAAATAAATACAATACAGAAGTGTCAATAAATTGAAAAAGAAATTTGCCAACAAAAAAAAATTTGATTTGTTGACTTCTAAGCAGATCAGTGATTAAGGAAACTTTCTTTAAAAAAAAAAGATTTTTTTTTTTTTTTTTTTTTTTGGTAGGCTCTTCGATATAACAGTGTAACAAGTACCGTAAAGAACGGTAATAAAAAACAATTCTTATCATATTAAATACGTATTTACGTTACTCTTGCACCATTGAGGAGCGCTTTTTATAAGCACATTCAAAATCCCCGTATGTGTATTTATAAATACGATTAAAGGCGAGGGGGTTAAAAAAAATCCCCTTTTTAAATCGATAATCTGTACAAAAGCGGCGAATTCTTCCCTAAATCATCAATAATATAATAATAATAATAATAATAATAATAATAATAATATTTTTTGTTAGTCGCGTTAACGATGTCTACATACACAATATTTACAGAAAAAACCGAGTGTCAAAAAAATCAATTCCAGCAATTCCGTCGCTCTATACGTCTAAAAAAAAAATCTATTCCAAATGAATAATTTTTTTTCTACCTCTATTAAATGTCAGACTGTATCTTTTTTTCTTTTTTTTTATAACAACAAGTCTTAACAACAATGTAACAAATTACTCTCGATAAATTTTTCATTTAGATACAGTCGCTCACTTTTTATGGTCTCTTTGAAATTTTCACAGACTGCTTCTATTTTTTTTTTTTTTTTTTTTCTCACTAAGCTATTATTGTGTTTCTTTTTTTAATCTCCCCCTTTTGAGACTTAATAGAAGATGGCGAAAAAAATTTTCAAAACAATTATGAATAATAAAAAAAACGACAAGTAGAAAAAGATGGCAAAGAAATTTTCAAAACAATTATGAATAATAAAAAAAAAAAAAAAAACGAGAAATAGAAAAAGAAAAATGAGAGAAACGAAAAAAAAGAAGAAGATGCAGAATACTGCCATCGTGATTAGAAATATGAAGAAAATAAAATTCTATCTAATAGGGGGACAAAAAAGAAAAAGAAAAAATTGAAGAAAATGTAAAAAAAATGAAAAATCCTGAAATCACAACCAACGAGATTTGTTTATACCCGAGCAAGAATTCTTTTTGATGAAGAATAAAAAACTTTCTTTTGCTCTGAGAATAAATTGGCTCGAGACCATAAATAAAAATATTTTTTTTTTTTTTTCTTTAAGAATTGTACGCATAGTTGAGACGAAAGGGTCCCCCGATGGAATTAGATTGATTTCCACTGCGGTTTGTTGGGACCCCCCCTTAAATGTCAGGGAGGCCCTCGAGGTACCCATAATGCTTTGCTTTGCTCGTCGTCGACGGCTGCTTTTATCTGCGTTACGATATATGCGACACTAACTCCAGCAGGAATTATTGCTGCAAAAATAATATTTTTGTTTAAGGATTTTTTTTTTGTTCACCTTACAATTTTCCACGAATAAATATTCTCAGCCTCGTGTATTTTTAATAAATTAAATTAAATTTGATTTAAAAAAAAAATCTTTAAAAACCAACAATGCAATGATTATACTTACATTGCATGTATACAAAATAATTCCCTAGATATGGAAAATTTATTTTTCCCTTGATTTAAATTAAAAGACAGTTTTTTGGAAAAAAAATTTCTTACAAACTAATTAATAATGAATAATAATATTCATTATTATACTTAATATTATTTAAATATTGAGTAAAAAATTATATAATTATAAATTTCGTTGATAAATTGTTAATAAATTTAAATAAAATATTAAAAATATTTTATTATAAAATTGAAAAAAAAAGGAAATTAAAATTGTTTTTACTTACATGAGATGAAAAATCGATATTCGGCCTCTGATTTGAGTGCTTGTTCGTACATCTCCTTAGCTGCCTTGGCGCTAACTTTTTCGCCAGGATACCTCGAATCTTTCACCTCCTTTATTTGCTTTGTGCTCTTGAATTTAATCAATAGAACGATAGGATATATTTGATGCCTATGAAGTCTTTCAATTGAGGCAATTGATATATCCAAAAGACAGTGCGAATTCTAACAAAAAAAAAACAAATGATTAATAAATTTTATTTAAAAACAGAAATTAATTTTAATTTAATTTTAATTTAAACATTAAAAAAATAATACAAAAATATAATTCATTAAATCTAATTTAATTACAACAAAATTTTATAAACTGAAAAAAGAACTTTAGTTTATTAAAACAATAAATATATTAGCGCTGAAAAATAAGGAAAATTTTTATCTTTTTCATAATGTAAAAAAATTGTAAATTCCAAATAATGCCAGTAAATGCATTAGTATTCTTTAAAAAAAATTAAATAATCTAAACATTATTAATTAACAAAAAAAGAAAAGATGTTTTTTGATTTATATTAATATTATATAATATAATAATGGAAATAAATAATAATAATTAATAATAATACGTAAAGAAAATATTTAAAATTGTCTACCTTTTCGCAAATGTCCTTCACTGCCTGAACAGTTGTGCATTCGAAGTAACTACCTTTCTTTCTGTAATCAACATACAGAGAATCTCGCAATCCTTGCTCGAGAGTTGCTTGCGAACAATGCATTGCTTCCGGTAGACATCTGGTGAATTGTCCCGGAAACTCCTGAAGCAGTCTTCCCAGAACGCATTCACTGAATGGACCAATTATTAAAATTGGTCTCAAAGCTGGATCTATAAAGGCAACAATTGTAAATTTTTTTTGTATTCCTCAATATTTTTTAAAACTAAAAAATAAAAAATTTTTCTTTAAATAATATCTATTTTTGTCAAAATGGTTTCAAAAAAATACATTTTTTTTTCAAAAATAGAAAAATTTTCAATGTAAAAATAAAGAAACATATAATAAAACATTTATATAATTTTTTTTAAAATTATTTTCTTTTAAAACAAAAATAATTTTTAAAAAAAGTAATATTTTATATAATTTTACTTTTTGTTAGTAAAAGAAAATTTTTGCAATTGTTTTTTTTTTTTTTTAATTAAATAAGTAATTAAAAATATTTACAGTCAAGTCGTTCAACTCGTTGATAACTGGCTGGTAAATTTTCCTCATTGAGCGTTCCACTGTCACTGTACCATCCCATATTGACGCCTGTAAGCTGCGAAAGTTCCTTGCTATCTCTGCTGGAAGATCGTTGATGCTGCTTTTTTCTACGGAAGAAACTGCGCCTAGCACTTGTTGTTCCTCTCCTTCCGGCGTCAGTTTCCAAATCACCAAGTGATCTTCTCAAAAGCATTTCCTCCTCAACTCTAAGAAATCAAATTATTTTCATAATCATTAATTACTTTTTACCAGTAAGAATTTTTTATTTTTCTTCAATCATTTTCTTTTATATATTATTTAAATTAAATTTTTAAAATAGTTTTTCAATAAATAATTTAGAAATTAGATTTAAATCGAAAAAAAAATCGCATTTCTTTAAAAACATGATTTTAAAATATTGATGATTAATTTTAAAATGAAAATTGATCTTACTTATATTTACTGGGAATGATGCCGCAGGTTTGTCGTCTTCCAGTTTGATCAACAAGCCAAGCTCTCCAGTGTCCAGGCGTTCCATTAAACATTGTATTATCAACATATAAAATATCATCTTTATTGAATCTCAATTGTAAACTATCGCCAACATCACCGGTACGATCGAACATTGCCTTCACATAGAAACTATCACCAGGTTTATCCTTAACTTCATTATATCTCTCGGGTATAAATTGTGCAATTAATGTCACTTTATCAGTGGGTCTTGCCAATTCCAATGCAGCTTGTTCAGCAGTCGCTTGCCTTAAATCAACACCATTATATTCAAGTATACGATCACCAGTTCTTAATCCCGATTTTTCCGCTAAACATCCCGGTTGAACGGAATGAACAAATATTCCAACTCCATTACCACCAACGAGCGATATTCCTAAATTGGAACATTTTCTCGTTTCAATGAATAAATAACGCGGTTCACTTGGTGGCACTGTTGCTTTTTGCGTTTGATCCTCTTGCGTTGGACTACGAACTGTTGCATTTTGTCGTTGCAATGTTGTTGCGGCTTGATTAATTTGTGCACGTGTCAATGTACCCGTTGCACTTCGCAACGAATCTAATGTCGCTGAATTTCTCATATTTTCAAGTGTTGCCGAATTTCTTAATTCTGGCTTTCTAATATTAATATCAAGCGACGCTGAACTACGAATTTCACGATCACGATCCTGTGTATTTCTCACGTCTAACGATGCTGATGCACGAACTTCACGTTCACGTTCTCTATCGCGATCACTTCGCATTGTATTCAATGATGATGAACCATCACGTTCAGGTTCTGATGATTCTAATGGTTCGCTCGTTGTTTTTCTAGGTGCTTCCGGACTATTGCATGGTGTTGGTGATCCACTACGACTGCCAGCTTCTTCGCCACCCGCTTCCGATGAACTTGACGATGCTGAACCATCTTGTTCATTGAATTCTTAAATAATGGAAAAATAAAAATTTAGCAAATAATTTTACAAAAAAATTCACATTTTCCTTTAGAATAATAATTATTTAAAAATATAAATATATTAATAAATAAATAAATAAAAAATTAGATAAATGTTTATCATATTAAAAATACTTAAATCCTCTGAATTTGATGCAGCAAGAAAAAGCTTCAGATTAATTAATAAATATTATAGTTATTAAATATCCAAAATATATGCAATATACAATTAATATTATAAATAATTTGTCAATGGTAAATATTCTACAAGGATAAATATTTTCAGGACAATGAATATTTCTACAAAGGGCAATAAATACTCTAATCTAAAATTGCAGAAACACATTTTTTAAAAATTCAATTTTTAATATAATTATTTCCAAAAAAATTTAATTGATAACGAATTAATAAAATATGAATTCTAAAATTTGGAAAAAATATTTGTCAGTTTCTGCAATTATAGATTAAAAAATAGAAAGAAAAAAGACAATAAACAATTAATGAAAAAAAAAAAGATGAAATAATACTCACTTTCAGGACTATACTGGACCAGCATCGTTATTGAATTACCACATTGTCTCAAGACATTAGCTGCCAATTGATAAGTAGCACTTCTCATATTAATTCCACAGACTTCCAATAATTGATCGCCAATTTGTAATCCAACGCGTGACGCTAAACTATGTTCAGAAACAGTTGATACAAAAACTCCACCACCATCCAAACATGAGATTTGAATACCAAGTGGTTCGACTGATTTATCAATATAAACCCTTCTTAATTCACCACTACCACCACCTGTTCCTGGACTCAATACCTCAACATGAAATGTTGGCATTGGACTTCCTCTCTCTGATGTTCTTTCAATACTACCCGTTGATAATTTACCAATACTATTTTTTGGCGTCACACTTGGATTCGATGGTATTCGAAAACGTTGATTTTCCTTTTTTCTTGGAAATGTACCGCCCTCATAGCCATGTGTATAAGAAGACGGTGTAACATCATATGGATGTGTTTTATTACTTTTATGACAATGAAGATCAGCCGATGGTGTATATAAATGTTGTCCAAAACCAGATTGCGGTTGAGGACTATAAGGTGGTTCAAAACAAAAAGAACGTGCATCGGGAAGGCCAATAGACTCACCCGATTGTGCCGAGGGTAATGATGGTGGTGATGGATAACGTGAGAATAATGAATTTTGTGGATGTGGATGCGTATAAGGTGGATATGAAAAATTACTACCAGCTAATTGTTGTCGTGGTCCAGTTGTTGATGATGATGATGAACCAGTTCCCATGATACCACTATAAAGTTGTGAATGTGCACGATTATGCATTGATTCTGTTGTTCCATCGTTTGGCAAATATTTTGCCGTACGTTTCTTTGCATAATAATCCAAATCCTTGCTTGATTTCACTGAAAAATCAATGCTCGTCTCCGATGGCGCTAACGTTGATCCCAAATCGAATTCACTTAATTTTTTCTCCTTTGTATCCTTGAATTGAACACCGGGCGTAAAGGATTTTTGACTGAAGAGCTGATGACCTGATTTACTGGTATCCGAAATAAAAACAGTATGCCGATTACTGGCATTGGAAAAATTAGTCAAAGGAATGGGGTTTGAGATCCTATTGTAATTATAACTCTCGTACTTGGGTGGTTGATTTAGAAGAACGCTGAGTGGTAGACGTTCCTTTGTTTTACGTGGATGGAGTATTGTTCCCGTTCCATTTTGCAATAGAGGTCCACCACGTGCTTTTGGCCATGTACCGCCATTTTTCTCCGCTTTCTCAGCACCGCCTCGACGTTTACTTCGTTTTAATACTCCATTATTTGCTTTTTTATGATAACTCTCAATCACTGAATCGAGTTCCGCTATTGCGTCCTGTTCCTGTTCAAATGTACTCGGACTCGAATTACGATGACGTTTTTTCTTTTCCTCACGATCCTTACTGTGTCGTCGTCCTCGAACAATGTCAATTTTCTCCCTTATATTATCCCAAGCGTTACTAATTCCACTTGCCTTCTCTCCGCTTACCGATTTTGACACTTTATAAACAGTTCGATCGCCAAAATTCGAGGCAATGTAGCGACGATCATAATCATCGGAACTTGTTTTCAACATTAGACGCTCATGTTCCGTTTGTGAACAACTATTCACCATTTTTTGTTTCTCCGGACTAAAACTCCCATCAAGGGGCATCGAATCAGAACTTGTTACTGTTGGCAATGGAATTCCCTTAAGTGTCGTAATTGTCAGCACATCCGAGGAATTGTCATTTAAAATCGCCATTGCCTCGTGCGATGAAGTTACATTATCCATCGGTTTGCTATTTATCTGCAAAAAGAAAATTAAAAATAAAAAAAAACTTGCGAAAAAGGATAAAAGAAAAACTTACGTTCAAGACCCGATCGCCAACTGCAAGATATCCGTCCTTTGCCGCTAAACTTCCGGGCGAAATTTTTGAAATGTAAATCCCAGTCTCGAGATTAATTCCATGTGGTACGGAACCAACTGGCAATTGTGTTGTTCTCAATGCTCGACGATTCATTCTTCTTCTTCGAACAGTCAACGTAGCGGGACCAACAGTTGACGAGCGTAATGTTTCCAAAACCATTCTCGTCGATACAGAAGTACAATCAACGTTATTCACTCTCATTATACAATCATTGACTCTCAATTTTCCATCCATTACACTACCCTGTATTACTTGCGCCACATAAACTCCAGTATCATTTGGATAATGTGGATTCTCCCTTCCGCCAACAAGCACCAAACCTAAATCACGATCCGAATCAAAGCAAAGCCTTCCAAGATCATGATGAATTGTCAATACATCCCATTCATTAACTTCCGTTTCAATACCACTTGTTCTTAATAAATGATCACCCGATTCAATTTTCTCCTTTAAATCTTTTAATTCTTTTAAAATTTCATTTCTTTGCTTTTTAATATTATCAGAATCTTTTAATGCACTCGCCAATTCAGAAACTGCTTGATCACGCTCCTTTTGTCGTACATCACAAAGTGATCTTATACTTTCACGTTCAAGGACAATTTTATCACGTTCACTGAAAGCCCAATCGCGTCTTCTTTTCGATACCTCAGCTTCTTGTACAGCTTCCTCAAGATCCGCTTGCAATGTATCGACAAATTTACGCAATTTATCTAATTCAAGATTTGCTTGATCTAAATTAACCATACGTTCTTTTTCTCTTTTCGCATAATCACGTGTACTTGTATCTTTTTCAACTTCCTTATTTGCATTGTCCTTCTCACGACTATAGGAATGAAGTTCCAAACGATTTTTATAATCACGATTTGCACTCTCGGAGAAATCGCCAAATTTCTGTCGTAATTCGTTGCATTCTTTTAAAGCCTCATCACGATCATGTAAAGCCGATGAGATCTCTCGTTGTAATGTTTCAATTTGATAGGAAAGTGTCTTCTTCTGAAAACAGGGCATTTTTTTTTTTTTTAAATTTACAATATTTTCAGCTTTTGGATCGACTTTAAGAAGAGTCATCACCTTTATTTTGACCCACTTAAATTTAAATTATTAATGAAATTTAAAGGACTCCAAATAAAGGTGGTGACTCACCTTAAGGCACAAAAAAAAGTCGATTTATATTTCAAAAATTGTGTTCTAGTTTAATAAAAAAAAAAAAGGCAAAATAATGATAAAATAATTCTTACTTCATCAACGAGTTGTTTATTTTGATTTTCCAAATGCGTGATGTGCGATCTCGCTTGTGCAAGATCCTCGCCTAGTTTTTCAATTTCCTTATGCACCGTGTCTCTCTCGCCCATAATTAAACTATATTCTTGTAACGCTGCATTTCTTTCCTCTGTTAAACGTTTCATATCTTTACTTGTCTTCATACGATGTATCATTGCATTATTAATTTCCTTCACAGCTTCCTCATGTTGTTGTTGTGTTTTTGCAAGCGCTTCCTGATATTCTTTTTTCTGACGTAATGCAATATCCCATTGACGAATTGCCGCCGTACACTGTTGTTTAAATCCATTTCGTTCTCTAACAACAGTATTTCTCTCCTGAACAACTTCTTCATTTTGTGTTCTCAGTCTTGCAACCTCTTCTTGTACCAATTCCAGCTGCAATAATTCATTTTATTTCTTATTTATACAAAAATTTTTTATTGAAATAAACAAAATTTTTATAAATAAAAATAAAAATTGGAAAAATTCCCTGCTCGAGATAAAATAGAAACAAGAAAACAAAAATAGAAGAGAAAAATAATAAAATAATATGAAAAAAATCGATTATCGAATATGAAAACTATAAATAATTATTATTAGAGCACAAACCTGATTTACAACGTCAGAATGAGATGATACGAGGTCATCGTATCGTTTTCTCAGGGCATCGTTCTCATCCTTGACGGCCTCATATTTACGTAGTGTCGATATATAATGTTGATTTATACTATCGCTATTACTTCCATCAGCGACAAGGACTTCCTGATTTTTTAATCTTAATTCCGAAACTTCTTTTTGTAAACCCTGTACCTCACGATCGAGACGTTGATTATCATTAATAAGTTCACCGTACTTGCCACGAAGAGCTGAACTCTCCTGTGAATTTGCTTCCAATTGATTCATGGCTGCTCTATGCTGTGTTCGATAGTATTCCAATTCTTTCATAGTATGCTCATACCTATCATCAGAGAGAGAGAGAAAAAAATGCGTAACATTAAACATTATTCGATTATTGATTTTGTTTTCCAATATATTGTGTGTGTATGTGTATGCTCTATTTATATAGAGCAAGCAAAAATAGAACTGTAAAACGATGGTCATGAGCAACAAATGAATATAAAACTAGGTCTCGAATTTCCAAATAGAAAAGATAATTCAGAAAAAAATCAAATGAATCAAAAAGAAAAATTTCCGTTATTTTCAATTCAAAAGGGAAATTCAAAATTTAAAACTAGAACTGAAAAAAAATTAAATATTGTAATTAAAATATAAATTAAAATAAAAGACAAAAAATTGGTCAATTAAATAAAACTAAAAATTGAACAAAACAAAACGGAAAAAATGAACAAACCGTCGAATAGTTTCGTTGTGCTTATGTCTAAGGAGTTGAAGTTGATGCATTGCTTGCTCGCATTGATTCTGTAAACCGTCATAGTCCCGACATTCAAGGCCCCGAACAGGACTTCCGACACCGCCGTAGCCTCCGCTATCCCTCTCTACATGCGTTAAAATGAAAACAAAAAAAAAATGCAGGGGAAACACAAAAAAACAAATGTATAAATTAAAAAAAAAAACAAACTTAAAATAATGCACAGCAAATTTAGTTGTTTAAAAAAAAAGAAATTGTTTCCAAATTCTCTTTCGTATAAAAATAAAAAAAAATAATAGAAAATGATCTTCATTGTAATTCAAAGAAAAATTAATTGAAATTAAAATTCGATTCATATGTACATAAATTTTATTAATAAGTTGACTTTAACTCTCGAACAATTCAAACTTTTAGTAGAGAAAAAAAAAAGATTATGATGAAAAATGATTTGTGACGTTTAAATCGATTATGATTTTGATCTAAAGTGAAAGACTTGTTATCAGAGTTTTATATTGACAATAAACAATCTAAAAGACATTCGGGTAAAGAACAAAATTTCTATATTACTATAATAGAGGCTAACAAAATTATATTGTTAAAATTATCACAATATGGAAATAATAAATAATATAAAAATATATGAATTAAATACGAAAAATGTAATAAATAATAATTAAAACAAAAAAAAAAAATTAATATAATTTGCAAAAGGAATTTGAAATATCGAGAGAAAAAAATTCAAAATAGAGATTTGAATTTTGTGCAGTATCGGCAATGAAAAAATAAAAATTTGAAAAAAAACAAAGATTTGCGAGCATGGATATTAAAATTTTCAGTTTTAATAATGTAACTCGAATTCTCACCCATATTGAGAGCTCCATCTGAAAGAAAAAACAAAAAATTATTTTCAGAAAAATTAAATACAATCAAAATATATTAATAAAAAAAAATATTGGGAAAGATTCGTATTTTGATAAAAGAGAAGAAGAAAATAATAATTAACTCGTTACAGTGTCTAAAACAATATAATTAGAGAAATGTTTGCTTTCACCAGGAAAGAAATCATGGCTCATGCATGTAAGCATCTTGATTTACTATTTTGTTGCATTAGTGAAACTAGAAATTAAGAAATTATAATTTCACTTTATGTGTGTAAGTTTTCAAATTTTGTACATTAATATTCAAAAACAATTTTTCAGCGATTTTCATTTTAAATTATAATTGAAAAATGTTTATTTTTCTTTGTTTTTCCGCATAATTGTCAAAAAAAAAGAGTAATTTTTCTTAATTTCAAACTACAAATTAAAAACTAATTTCAAAAATATTAATTCTTTTCGAAATTTATTCATCTAAATCAAAATTGAATTTTGTAATGATATTTAAATATAAGTTAAAAGAAAAAAATAATAAATGTTACAAAATGAAATTTATTGATGTAAAATTGTAAAAAAAAAATTGATATTTTGCAGTTAATCCTATAAAATATATAAACATTGAAAGTTGTAAATACAATTTTTGAACAATGAGAGAATTTTAGAAAAGCCATAGCGATAAAAATGAAGAAAAATTTCGGATTTTAATTTTGTAAAATAACAAAAAGGAAATTAATTGAAAGTTAAAAAAAAATGTTAAAGATATAGATATTTTTTTTTTTTTTAAACTTACCACTGCTACCAGCACTGTCCAAGGAAGACGCACCAGAAGCCATAATCCCCGATGAAACTCAACCTCGTCCACTAGTGTAGCAATATAATCACTAGGGTTCGCCTGAAAAATAGCGATGCGCTGTACTTCACGGAAGAGCGAACCCTTTGTGAATTAATAAAAAGTATAGCCTTCACAATGACAATTCATGTATAGATAAATAGGCCTTCGCGGTTGTTAGAAATAAATTTTTTTTTTTTTTTCATTTTCATAAGAACCCACGAGACATTCATATTGAAAACACTGCATTTAAATGATATGAGAATTATTGACAATCGAAATTAAATAATTGCAAAACCATTTCCCACCCCCTTAACACCCGTTAAAGAGAATTGTGTCTTTAAAAGCAATATTTTTTTCCATATAAAAACCATTTATCGTACAATAGTGGGTAGGAGGAAGGGCGTATGTTTTCAGAATGGTCGCATAGGAAATTAATCTACGTTTTGATGATGTGTCCCCCCCCACGAGAGAATATGATGAAAACTTTTTTATTGACACCAACTTTTTCAATTATTAATTCACAATTTTAGGTTATGTGAATATTGAAGAATAATTTTTATATTGCGACATGCTTTTTTAGTAATCAAAGAAACACTGTGTTAAGAAAAAAAATGAGATCAAACCAGTTCTTGTAAAGACGATTCCTATTGCTCATCACAGTGGGAACTGATTATTTGACCATTGCGTTGAAAAAACTTGTTGAAATTATGTTACTTTAATGTGAACAAACGATTACCACTAATCACTGCACCATTCTTCATGATTCACAACCAATTATTTAAACATTTTAACCAACATTTTAGAATTGCTCACCTACGGCACGTCTGACAATTAGCCATTTTCAATTTTCATTAGTTAGCTACCATAGAATATAAACTGGAAATCCATGGAAATGGAACAAATACGGCCTTTCATTGCCGGCAGTGCAAGTTATTTTATTAGATAGTTCGAGTTTTCGCCGTGGTGGCGCTCGTATCGTAATTTGAACGATAATATTTAAATTTTTTCTCTTGTTTTTTTTTTTTAAATTAAATAGATTTATTATAATATAAATAGATTAATAATAAATAAATCAAATAATAAAATAAACGAAAATCTTTAAATTTATAGAAATTTTTTTAATTTAAATTTCTAATTATGTTGATATAGTATTTCAAATTTACTTACCCACACGTTGGTAATCCTGTTTCTTCCAGCCAATGGGCGTAATTCCCTCCATTTGAGGAAAAATTTTCTTCATTGTTCGTTAAACATTTGTGCAAATTGTTAAACGTTTTATTAACAAAATTATTCTTGCTCGTAAATAATTCATATTAATCGGAATTTAAAAAAAAACTTTCTTTTGCTTCTTATTATAAAAATAATCACAATTGAAAAATAATCGAAAATTTTTGTAAATAATCCTGAATTATTTGCGATTTATTGTAAATTTGATATATTTCGAAAAAGTTTTCCAATTCTTGTTAGTCCATTTTTTATATTGATATAAATTTCAAATAGTTTTATCATATTTTCCTGAAGGTTTAATTAAAAGTATTATTGATAAAAATTATGACTTCGTGATAATAAATGAAATTTAACCTGTCAAATTCGTGACATATAAATAATTGAAACATAACCGCAAAAATACGTTTCATGTAACAAATACATATATTATTCAAAGTTTTATAAAAAAAATCAATACCCCAAATAAATAATGTAAATTCGAAATTATAATTAAATAAGTAAATTCAGTGTAAAAAAAATGTTCGAGTTGAAAAATTTCTCTTCGTTTTTTTACTTACAGGTAAATTAAATCTGAAAATTATTTTTATAATTGAATTTTTATTCCAATTTGGCTATAATCTAACCTTTTTCATTTTTTTGGTGTTTTTTCAGGATAAAAACCGAAAGTTGGTACAACTTAATCCCTTATGATTGGAAACTGGTCCAGAGAGATAAGATGCTGTACATCGATGGACTTTACAAGGTTTTTAATTAAATTCAAAATTAATTTCACTTGTGTATATCATATTTTTTTTTAAACATTCGCTATTTCTGTGATGATTTCCATGAATATTTTTATCCCCTTTAAGAAAATGTCCTTATTTAAAAATTCATTATCGCCATGCATACGAATAGGCGTTTGATTAATTGGTGTAAAACCAAATGTCGGTATATCCATCTAAAAAATAAAAAAAAATATTAGAAATTTAATCATTTAAACGCTTATTATTAATTATTAATAAAATAATTTTTTAACTTCAAACAAATTTAAAAATTAAAATCGTATTTAAAAAACAAAAATAAAAAAAATACTAAAATAAATAATAAAACAACTAAAATAAAAAATATTAAAAATCAAAATTGAATTAAATTTAAAAAAAAAATATTAAATAATAATAAATAACATTTAAAATTGTTTCTTTTTTTTTTAAATCAAAAATGTTTGATTTTGAAAAAAAAAAACTCACAACACGAAGAAAACGCGAATCTGATGCTCCTAAACGAATCATTGGATCAAGTTTTATATTTAAATTATCGCAGGATTTTTTAAATGCCATCCAATAAATATTGGTATTATCCATTTTTGTATTTTCAACAAATGGTTCTTTAAGTTCTGTCGTATAATATACACCATCTCCTGCATCATCACACCATTTTTGAATCATTTTCTCAAATTTTTCATGATTCACATCAGCAGCCAAACGAATATCAAATCCTGCTGAAAATTCCTTGGGAATAACATTAATTTGCACACCGCCCTAAAATTAAATAGAAAATTTCAACAAAAAAAAAATAAAATTTTCCATAAAAAAATTTGAAAACAAAAATTTTCTTCAATTATTTAATATTAATTGTACCCTTATTAATTAGATACAATTAATTGAATTAAATTAATTTAAAGAAATAAAATTTAATTTTCCCATTACACCATTCCCATACCTTAATCATTGTTAAATTTATACTCGTAACATTTCCAATTCTAATTTTGGGATTTTTTAATTTTTCCTGCTCAGCGTTACGAAATTTTGTGAATTTTTCCAAAATTAAAAGTAATTTTTCGCCAGCTGTATTATTTGGTAATAGTGAGGCATGTCCAGTTGTTCCATTACAATGAATCCAAATACGAAATAATGTTCGTTCACCATATGTTAATGAGAATTCATCATTTATCGAAGCACTTCCTTCATCTAAGGCAAATCCAATTTTTAATGATTTAAAATAATTTGTTTGTGTAAATGCTTTCATTCCGTCATGTCCTCCAATTTCTTCATCCGGAACAAATGAAATGTGAATTGTTCTCTTTAAATGAATTCCATTTAATTTTAAACGACGAATCGCCTCTAAATGTTGAATGCTAACGCATTTACAATCTTGTGAACCGCGTGCATAAATGTCTCCTTTTTCATCTATGTGAGCACTAAACGGTGGATATTTCCAATCTTCCTGTGAAAAAAAATTTTTAAAAAATTTGTCAGATTTTTTTTTCAAAAATACAAAAAAATATCGAATATTTTAGACATTTTTAGATTATTTTTAACAATTATTTTTTTTCTCTTCGTTCAATTATAATTTTTGTTACAAGTTTGATTATATATTTTAAACTTACGGGAAAAACGGGAACGACATCCATGTGTCCATTTAATAAAATTGAATCCTTCTCAGGTTCTGTTCCTGTCCAGGTGATAATTACAACGGGTTTATTAGGGGATACTTCAAAAACCTTGACTGGAAGTTGAAGACTTTCCGCTTGTTTTTTTATAAAAGCCACGCATCCGTCTAAATAGAATTAAATTTTATTTGAAAATAAAGAAATTTATTTTAATAACAAATAATTATTCAAAACTAAATACACTATAATAAAAGTAAAAAATTAACGATAAAAATAGTAATTATAAAGTTATAAAACTTACTGTAATTAATATTTGGATGAACACTAGGAATTTGGAGATATTCTTGAAAATTTTCCACGGCCTTTTTATCCATTGTTGATTCACTTAAAGCCATTTTGTGTAAATTCGCGATTTTATTTTCCAAAGCACTTTCTCTTTCTCTCAAAAACGCCCATTGACTTTGTGTCTGATAAATTTAATCTTCTCGCAAACTTGTTTGCTAAACAGTTTTCGCAAAATTTAAATCCACACCGATAGCGTTCAGATTTCACTTTACCGTACCTAGATAAAAATTTGATAAGAATAAAAAATATCGTCAACACAAATGCAAAGAATTATTTTAAATCAGCAAATTAAAAAAAAGAAAAAAATATTGGTATTCAATTTTTTCTTAATTTTTTAAAAATATTTATTATTTTCCTTAATAAAAGTAATAATTTTTATTATTTGTGGAAATAAGTTTTATTTTAAAAAAGTTTATTATTGGAACAAAAATAAATATTTTGAAAAAATTAATTTTAGAAGAAAAAAAAAAATTGGAACAATATTTTTCGAGAAATAATAAACTAATAAAATAAAAGTAAAATTGAAAAATTTAGTATTATTTTGTTAGTTTATTTTAATTTTGTTAGACAGTAGAGAAAATATAAATTAAATCGTATAGAAAGGGACGTGATCATTACTGTGAGAGATTTCATTATTGAAATATCAAAACAGAAATAAATAAATAGAAAATTTTGTCATGATTAGCGGATTTATTTTTGCTTCTTTTTCGAGTCGAGAATGGTGCACAAAAACATAAAGATATTTATATGTATATATAATATATCAGCCACAGAATGCACACGTCTCTATATATATATATATTTTTTTTTTTTAGAATCAGAGAATATAATAAAGTGACCTCTCTTTCTTTCTCTCTCCATATTGTATCCATTTAAATTAGCGCCCCGTTTTCGTCAAATATAAAATATATATAATATAGTATAATATATTCTATATCTACAATAGTAGTAGTTACTCTTTCTTTGTTTTTTTTTTCTTTTCAATATAACAGTGCATCTTTCATATTTAATAGGTCTAAATAGTTTCTTTGATTTTGCAAGGCCAATACTAGAGGTGGTAAACACAGTTTTCTTTTTTTTTTTTTTAATAATAATTTTTATACACAGAAGGCCTCAAAATTCTAGAGAAATTATTTACAAAAAATTTTCACAATAAAATCTCACGAAAATATTTTCTCCCCAATATAGAAAAAAATTAAGAATTAATCTTTTCATTTTAAATCCTTTAAATTTTTCTCTATTTTTTTTCGCAAAAAATCGACACAATGCAATAAATATAATTAGCAAAATATTTTCCAATTTTCTTTATAATTTTTTTTTCTTTGTTCTCTAATAATTTTTCTTTTTATTTTCTTAAATAGAAGTACACATTTTTTGTTTTGAAAATTTTTTCCTTTTTCTTTTCTTCTAATAGAAGTAGAATACAACTTTTTTTTATGAATAGAATATTATAGACAATTTTTTTTTCTTTCTATAGAAGAATTTCGAAAGAGATATTTTTTGAGAAATATACAATACATTTTTTTATTTTTATTTTCTTGTTAGGAAAATAAGTCTTAGAATATGAGAAAAAATTTCCATTTAAAAAAGTCTTTTTTTTTATATATACAGAGAGATGACGTAAAGTCTTTTGAAGGACGATACGGTGTAGGCAGTGGTAAAAGTGGTGTTCTAATCTTTCGTAAAATGTACATAAAATGAAAAAAAAAAAAAAAAAAAAAAAATGAAATGTTTGATAGTAGAAAAATTGGTGCTTAGCTTACACTACTTTCCTAACACTTTGGACGTGTGTTCTCGACATTTTTTTATGAGAAAATATTAAACAATAATTTTAATAATACAAATGAATAGAACAAAACTTTTTTTTTTCGTTGAAAATTAGAAAAATCAATTAAGCGAAAAATAGGGAGAAAAAAAAATATAAATGAGAAAGAAACAAAAACATGGCTTTGCTAAGTTAAACTTTGGTATTGGTTATGAGTGAATTTTGATTTCGAAAAATCAAAACTCATATGTACACAAAATGATATAAAATACAACGAATAAAAGTTGATAATAATAAAAAATGATTAATAATATTAATAAAATGATTAAAAATATAATAATAATATATATAACTAATATGTTAAAAGTAACGATAATAATACAGTTACTAAACGAAAGAAAAAAAATGACATAGGTGAGGGAGTTTCTAAATTCTACGTTTTTTTCTTCTTTTCTTTTTTTTCTCTCTCTCACAAAATTTATCTATCGCTTTAAAACGATTGTCAATATTTTTTTCTTTCCCCGATAAATACAATTATGTTCTAAACAATTTCTTTTTTTATACAGTTTTTTTTCTAAATAAAAACTACATCTTATTTTTGTTAAAACATTTGAAAAAACATTGCCGCTAGTAGAATAAAGCTATCGTCTCTAAGACAAAATAAATTCCTTCGAAAAAGAAAAATAATTCAAAGAATTTGCTCGCTAACGTCAATAATATTGGTGTGTGCAGGACATCTACAATTTTTTTTTTCCTAAATCTTTTTTTTTTTTTAAATTGTAGTGCCAGTTATTCTACTTTTTTTTTTTTAAACACCATTTTTGTCTTTCTCTCTAAAACATTGTACGTTAATGACATTCTTTTTTTTTCTATACAATAAACTACAAAGAGGGCTTTTCTTAAAAGCTACTAATAAATTAATTGTTAAATACTCAACTTGGAAAAGTACTCTCACATTTTGAGATCTCTGTGCGTCTCTCCCGAAACTTAAAAAAAAAAAAAAAAATCAATACAATTCTCAACTGGGAGGATTAAAGAGATCTCTTTTTCGACTATCAACTTTGTACCCAATAAACTATTCAACAAGTTTTACCTGTCGTAGTGACGAAAAAACCAAATTGTGATTAATTGCGCATCACGAGAAAATTGTTAAGAACAATTTTCCTTTTTTTGGTTTTCCTTTATCGAAACCGACTGGTAAAACAATAAATGCCTATAAATTCTTTCTGTTCCCCTGTTTCAATTATCGACAACGTGTTTCTTTTTTTTTGCTATTTAAAGCAATGTTTGGAAAATTCAAATATTTGTGGTCCACAAGAGAATTGTTTCTTCAAACTGTTGACGTTTGTTGATTATTGTTGTCTAGAGGAATACTTGAGGAACATTCTTTCAGCATTGCCCTTAATCGAAGTATTTCCTTCGATGCGGCCGCTAAATCCGATTGCAATTGTAGTTCTTTCTCGCGAAGACGTTTAATGTCCCTTTGACAGGTCTGTAAAAAAAGAATTTCCTTTTTTAATTTTTCTTATTTCTTCAATATTTTTATAAAGCGTACATTTTAAATATTTTTTTCTATTTTTGAATTAGTGATTTTTTGTTGTTAATATTTTTTATTTATGAAATTAGTTTTACTACAGAAAATTGAATTAAATTTCTATTTATGAAATTAATCTTTCATTCAGTAAATGAAATAAAATTCTTATTTTTACTATTGATACGTACCACATTTTGCCGCAATAAATCCAGCTTATCGCATTTCAATCGTGTGACCTCCATTCGCAGTGTTTCATTTTCCGTGGCCCCCTCTTTGGCAGGACATCTCGTCGCCTCATGAGTTTCCGCGGAACTCATCGATTCAAGTCCCGTGTCACTGTCCGGATAAACAGCTTGATCTAATTCCAATTCGCTATTCAATGAACTATCATCGCTCTCTGAGATAATTCTCGTTGTTCCCTCTTGTTTCTCTCCACGTTCCTCTCGTTTTCTCAAATTTTCATGTGTCAATCTTTGAAATGACGATGATCCCATTGTCGTCGTCGTCGTCATTGAAGATTGCACGATTTTATCAACAATTGTCGCCGTTGTATCAACAACACTCGTCATTCCATTTATTGATGAATTTGATTCACGTCTATCGACTTCATCTTGTTGTAATGTCGTCAAACTACTGTCTTGATTGTCAGTATTTGATAAACTACTATCTTGACTTCCTAAACTTGCATGATCGGAATCTCTTCTTAATGTTAAATCAGGTGATCCAATTGGACTCGATGGTTCAGTGGAACGTTTACTGCTGTTATTATTAATTTTCGTCGTTGATTGACGATTACTCGGTGGACTTGGCTCGGATGATTGTCCTTTTTTTGATAATTGTTGTGGTACACTTTCTGTTGATGCATTTCTTACACGGGAAATTAAAGCTTTTCGCACGGTATCAATAAAACGATTACCACTTCCGCCACCGCTTCCTGATGTTGTTGATACATCGCTTGAGGTTGGACTCACTGGACAATTTCCCCCAAGTCCTAATCCAACATTTGTACCACCGCCGAGAAATTCATTTGTCTTTGTTTGCAATTCCTCAGTTAACGATTCCAAGAGAGCTGATCTCGTTCTCAACTGGGGAAAAAAATTTAATTAATTAATTTTTTTATTTTACTATCATAATTAATTGTATATTGAGAAAAAAATTTGAAAAATTATTTTATTTATTATATATTATTATTATTATTATTATTTTAGTACTGTTTACAAATTCCGAAACGTAATTAAAAATCTATTTTGATTCTATTTTCAAAATAAAACGAAATTAATTTTGAATTCGTTGAGTTTTTGCTTTTAATATTTTAAAAATTCTAAATTAATTTTATTTTTATTAATTTTTTATTTAAATTACTATAAATAAAATAATAATAAAATTTGGACGGAACTTACTTCGAGTTTGGAAAATTGTTCAGCTTTGTAAGCGGCATTTTCGGCATTGACAAGTTTAGTAAGAAGAAATTCTTTAAATTCAACGCCTCGCAGAAAAACTGCAGGTGAAGGTAATGGTGGTCCAAACCACGGAACGTCAAGGCGAGATGTTACACTCACTTTGTACCTGAAAGGCAAAAAAAAAAAAACAAATTAATTTCAGTAAAGAAATTTTTTTTGCGAAAAAAATCCCTTTTTTCTCGAGAATAAAAAGTATAAAGCATATTTTATAATTTGAAATATTTTCTCTGATAAAAAAAACTAATTAATAATTAATAAATTGATAATTTAATAATGTAATAATTAATAAAAATTAAGTTGTATTTAATAATAGTAATAATAGTACTACTAAAATAATAATTTCCGGAAAAGAAACATTCAATCTTTAAAAAAAAAAAAAAACGAAAAAAAATCATCAATGGGAAATATCGTTAATCTCTAAAATCATAATCTTTTGTTTTTTAAAATTTTCATCTAAATATAACATCCAGATTCTGTAGATACAAATATTCCTTCTGTTCAAATACGTGATGAATCAATCAAAACACGTGAACTATTTTTAAAGTCAAGAGGAATTATTTCAGTTTGAAGAAATACAAAGTGCTGTCTGTTTTTCTCATCTCGTTTTCTTTTTTTTTTCAAACTGCGCGTTCACCACGACTTGTCTTGTTCTGAATCTTTTTTAAGGCATAACATAAAAGAGTTGCTTCTTTTTTTTTTTTCTTTGTAAAAATATGTACCTTGTGTTAGGAGTGCAAGGATCGATGACCTGAACGACAATGAAGGCGTGAAGGAAGTGGCTTGCAATCATGTCAGGACTAAAGGGCGTAGGTTCCTCTTGGAAGATGATTGCAACGATGTCGTTGCCAATGTGCCTTTTGCGTTGCAATTGTTGTGAATCGCCTGGACTGAATGGTAATAGTGAAGCAACATGAAAAAGTACTTCACGACCTCGGAATACCTCGTATACCGCGGAATCGCCCGTTTGCCCGTGTCTCGTATCTAATCCTCCGCGATATCTGCAAAAAAAATTTTTTATATCAAATTATTTAATTAATTACTAATTAAAAAATTAATTGAATAATTAAAAAAAAAATTGAATTTAAAAAAAAGAAACTAAATTTTTTTATTTCTTTAATAAATTGAAAATTTGTTTTTTTATTAAAAAATTTTCTTCCGTTGAAATTGAAAATAAATGGAAATTTTTTTTTTGAAATAGTATTTTTAACGTACCCTTTGTGATCTTTTAAATCGATTTTCTGACCGAGAAGATCGAGAAATTCTTGAAAGGCCGGAGTGATTTGGCGGTTACTGAAGAGTTGCTCCTCTGTTAGTTGGCCAGCTCTCTGATGTAGAACGCCAAATTTGAATCTGGATACGAGGGCATGCTCATCGTAACGAGCAATCAAAGTTCCAGCACCGGAGCATACCACAGGCATTAGATTATTCACGTTGAGTGACTCGTTGATTGCCTGAAAACAGAAATAATAAATACACTCTTTCTTTATATTCACATTATTTTTGGTTACATTTTAGAAAACGAAAATTATTATTCTATTTTTAATATCAATAAAAAGCAAATTTTTAATTAAAAACAATAAAATTATAAATAAATAATTTTAGATTATAATAAAATAATAAATATTAAAATATATATTAATTATATATTATTAAATAAAATAATTATTTAATTGTAAAAAATAAAAATGATAAATAAATATTTTTTAAAAATGACATTGTCACTAAAATAATAAACAATAAAATAAACAAAATAATAAATAAAATAAAAGCTAAAAAAAGGAAAAAAAAAATATATGTCAAATTGAGTATAATGATTGAGAACCCTTCGAAAATTGAAATGCATAGATAAAATTGCAAAGTACATATATGCATAATTTATGAGTTCAAAATTAGTGTTTCGAGTATGCATCGAGAGCATCTTCAAGTTCAATGTCTGAATACTAATGAACTTGTAGGAACGATATTTTCAATTTAAACGGTTTGTGCTCCAAGAAAAAAAAATTAAATTCGTTAAATTTTAATTTTCAAGATTTTGTAGATACATTATCTTTATATTATTCTCTTAGTCAGTTTAATATGAGTCTTTTAATATATAAATAATAGAACGAGATAATAAGCGGACGTTAAGTAATCTAATGCGTACTTTGCCACAGCCTCGCTCTCATCTCGCCTTCAGAGCGTAGTAATAATGTATATATATATATATGTTCTACTTAAATAAATGGCAAGAAAACCACACGGCTTTCTAATGACTATACTTGAAGACAAAAAAAAACTGTCCTCTTTATAGAAAACACACGAGACTTTAAAATTAGATTTAAAAGTAAAGGATATATAATATATATAAGAATCACTTTTTTTTTGTTAAGGTTAACAAAATTAATTCTTTAATTTTCAAAAATACAATTTTCTTTCAAAAAAAAAAAATTCTGTTTTATTTTTCTATCGTTTAATTCTTAATCTCAAATATTTCAAAAACGGAAAAAAATTTAATGATAAATATTTTTCAAAGGACAACAAATTTTAATTTACCTGAGAAATTTTTTTCATTTACGAATAAAAAAAAAATATATTAAAAATTCAAAGTTTCTTTAAAAAAAAAAAAAAAAAATTTGAATTCCACATAATAAGTATAATGTTTCGTTGATTTATGTGAACAAAAAAAAATAATTTTTTTTTGTTCTTTTCACCGCAATTCACTCTCGACAATTGTATATGAAATAAGTTTAAAATTTCTTGCGCCGGAAATACGGTGCAGCGAACCGATAAAAATCACTCTCTCGTGGCTTATATGTCCTTCACATTTTTTTTTTTCAAGTTTATGCCTCTTTCATTCTCAAGAAATTTTGAAATAAAGTAGTAAGAAAAAAAATAATTCAGAAAAATTGGTTTTTGGGAAAAAAAAATTGTTTTTTTTTTCATAAATAAATAGAAATTAATTATTTTACCTTAACCATTTTGGCCGGTGAGGGATTTGGTCCAAGTGTTGCTGCCGGCACCAATTCGTGTGTTGAACCAGCTCGTAATCGCAAAAGTACTCGCCAATGTTCCTGGCCAGCGACAGTTTCGGCTTTCATGGATACCAATACTGGTCCATTTTCACTGTCTCGTCCCACAAGGTTCACGTGTTCCTGTAGGAGAAAAAAAATCCAAATTTTAGAAAATTAATTTCTCTTTTCCCCAATACTAAATTTTAATTTTTTAAATTATTTTTTTTAACAATTAATAATAATAATAATAATAATATTAATTAATTAATAATTGAGAGAAAATTTTAATTTAGCCGAATTTAAATTAGAATTTTCTTAGAAATTCTGGCTTAATAAAAATTCGGTTAAATAAAAAATTTTCTAATTACAAATTTGATTAAATAAAATAATTGTAGATAAATATTCTGTTAAATATTAATCGTTATAAATATAGAAAAATCTGTTAACAGTTGCGAATTTGGTTAAGTATAATAATTTGGATAAATAAAAAATCTAAATATTAGTTTCGTTAATAGAAAAATTTGTTAAACTTTATTAAAAGATAATTCAATTATATAGAAATATATAAAGAATTATATTTTGCAAAAAAAAATTTCAAAGAAGACTAAATTATGTGTGTATTTGACAATTGACAATAATATATTGAAATTCATCATTCTGAAAATGAATGCATTTTGCCATACCGAATTTAGAACGAGTTTTGAACCTTCTGTTCATTTGATGCAAAAGTTATTTCTGCGGAAGTTAATATTGGTTGCGTCAGTGAATGCATTTGTACTCATTGTGCGTGCATGCGTGCAACTCACGTATATATAACGTCCATTGTCAACGATCGAGTCAAATACACAATATATTTCTATATATATAAAAGAGCCTTCGAGTGCGATAACTCAAGTCCTATCAGATTTTGTCAAGTTCCTCTATATATAATATAAATTTTATTCATAATATACTGAATATAATTTTGCTCGCATCTAAATATATCTATAGTTCGATTCACGTAAAAAAAAAAAAAAATTCGCATATAAATTGTCTTGAAATCATTTCATCAACTTTTTTTTATATTATTATTATTTATAAGCGATGAATCTAGATGACGTATATATGTATTATGCTAACTAGAACTGATTTACTGCTCTATTGTTTCCAAGTTATAAGGGCCGTGCGAAACGGAATTATTATATTGTATATATATATGAGGAAATTCACTATAAAAAAGAGTCAGGGAAGATATTTTAATATATGTATATATATATCGTGCGTGTATTTTAAGAGAAACAGGAAGATGTTTATTTTAATGCAAAAGATGGCATTTTCAAAATTCTAAAATACGCCAGTTTTATATTTTAATCTTGAATTTTTATTTAACAGAATTTTTATTAAACATTTCCATTTAACCAAATTTCTATTTAACAGAATTTTAATTTAATAGAACTTTTATTAAACATAATTTTCATTTAACCAAATTTCTATTTAACAAAATTTTCAATTAACAGAACTTTTATTAAATATAATTTCCATTTAACCAAATTTCTATTTAACAAATATTTCCGTGAAATAAAAGTGAATTTATATATTTAACAAAAATTCTGCATTTATACTGTTATTTAGCAGATTTCTATTTTACTGAATTCTAATTTAATAGAATTTCTATATTTTTAATTTTATATTTAGCCGAATTTTAATTTTACAAAATTTCCATTTAACCAAATATTCTATTTTTAAAAAATAGATATATTTATTTAAAAAATTGATAATTAGCCGATTTCTGATAAATTCTAAATGCCAATTTTGTTAAAAGAACATTCGGCTAAATAAAATTTCTATATTAAATATAGAAAATTTTGGTATAATAAAATTCGAGTTAATAAATATTTTGCTAATTAGCAATTAAAAGAACAATTTTTTAAATAAAATTTCTACTAAATAGCAAATTTAGTATAATAAAATTTGGCTAAATAAATATTCTGCTAAATAGCATTTAAAAGAACAATTTTTTAAATAAAATTTTTACTAAATAGCAAATTTAGTATAATAAAATTCGGCTAAATAAATATTCTGCTAAATATTATTTTTGTTAAATGGAAATTTAGTGAAATAAAAAATCAAATAAATAATATTCGATTAAATCGTAGTTCTGTTATTTCAAAATTCGGTTAACTATTATAAAGTCTGCTTAATATAACAAAATTTAGGCAAGACTAAATTTTTTTTTTCTAAATTCAGAAAAGAGTATTATGGAAAATTGTCGAGTTTTTTTTCCCCGAGTATTATTACAAATTCGAAAAGAAGTTGAGAAAATGAAAAAAAAAAAAATCACAAGAGGGGTATAGGGTAAAATAATGAAATGAAAGATCCATAGAACGCAGGAAAGAAGTACTTCGGGCGTGGGAGTGGGAATGTTCTCACACTGAATGTCCGCATGACGCACCTCTCCTTACCCCCCGGGATTTGATTTTCATCCTTATGGCCACATTTACGCTTCCCTCCCCCCTCACTGTATACACCATCCTTCCGTTTCCTCTCACTCTTTACCCCGCCATCATCATCATCATCATCTTAATCCCAACATAATATGTATTCCATTTTGTAATTCTTGTCTCGTCTCGTCTTAAATTCTTCTTCCTCTCACCTTCTGCTTTCAACATAGTCACTGTCTATACATATTCTATAAATAAAAGAAGCGATTCTGGACATTCATTCTTTTTTTTTTTTTAATTTTTTTCTTTTGATATTAGAGAAACAGTACTTTCTGTTTTTTTTTCTTTTCTTCGTGGAATAATTATAGTAATTAATAATAATTATTATTTAATAACAAAAAAATATTTATTATATTATTTATTAGTTATTTTATTTTATAACCGATTATTTTAATAAAATAAATTTTTTTTTCCATATATAATATCAATCGCAGTGATCCTTGGACTCCTTAGTTATAGTGACTGTACTTTCAATAATAATTAGAGTCCGGAAACTCGAGTCGATAATGATCAAGTAATCGTCCCTCTTTAATTAAGTTTTCGTCTCGCGAACAAGCTAATTGTACTTTAGTAGCATTGCATTTGTAAAATGAGGGGCTTATATTGCTTTTTATACGGATGTTTAATTTTATGCTCATTTGAAAGGTTAATTCAATATTATTTCATTTTTCAAATGCTAATTTTATAATTTAATATATAAGTGAATGCAATATTCCTTTTGACAATATATAATTATTGTAAAGTGCATATTATACACTGAAAAAAGAAAAAAAACCATTTTTATTAAATTAAATATATATTTGTTTCAAATACAAAAATTATTGGTTCAAATACAGTTTATTTAATTCAAATTCAACAAACTTAAATTAAAATTATATTTGGTTCAAGTAAATATTTATTTAATAATAATAATCAAGTAAACGTTTATTTTAATTAAATAAATAAGTAAATAAATAAATTAAATTTAATAATTGATAGTAAATAAATATATAAAATAAATTAATAAAATAAATAGTAAATATATATATAGAATAAAATGAATAAAATAAAAGGATAAATAAATTTTTTTTTCAAAAATATAAACAAATTAAAAATAGTAAAAACTAAAATAAATAAAATTTAAAAAAGTGAAAAATGTATTAAATAGATTTTTATTTTAAACTAATAATTATTCACACTATATATTTTTTTATATTTAGTAAAAAAAATAAAAGTGAAAAGTTGTATAGAGGAGTCGACATCGATTATTATTAAGCCAGTAGTGAAATTATCGTTTTTGCACGTACTGACCTACTGACCATTGCTTTTATGGCATGTGGCTACGAGGAAACTATTTTCAATTGAATTCTATTATACCGAAAGATGCGCGTCACTTTACACATAAGAATTATTCATTAAAGGGAAACTTTGCGGTGAAATTTCAACTTATCAAAATTCTCACTCAAAAACGATTGTATATAGATATATTATACAATTAATCAATTAAAAAATAATTCTTTTTAAAAAAAAGTTTATAAATTTTTTTTCTTTATGAATATTTCTTCTATTTTTTGCTTTTACATTAAAAAAAAATTTTTAATTATCTAGTTTCTAGGTAGTCTGACTATACGGAAACTGTCTAGTTTCCAGGTAGTCAGACTATATGGAAAATATTTAGTTTCTAGGTAGTCAGACTATATGGAAAATATTTAGTTTCTAGGTAGTTATACTATATGGAAACTATCTAGTGCCTCTATATTAGGTCAGAACAGTTATACTATCTAGTTTCTAAATAGTTAAACTATATGGAAACTATCTAGTTTCTTAGTAGGTAAACTATATGGAAACTATTTAGTACTACTAGATTATTTAGGAAGGTTAGGGTATTTATACTATCTAGTTTCTAGGTAGTTATACTATATGGAAACTATCTAGTGCCTCTATATTAGGTTAGAACAGTTATACTATCTAGTTTCTAAATAGTTAAACATATGGAAATTATCTAGTTTCTTAAGAGGTAAACTATATGGAAACTATTTAGTACTACTAGATTATTTAGGAAGGTCAGGGTATTTATACAATCTAGTTTCTAGGTAGTTAAACTATATGGAAACTATCTAGTTTCTAAATAGTTAAACTATATGGAAACTATCTAGTGCCTCTATAGTTTATTTATAATAGATTTTCTAGACAAAATCTATCTAATTTTTTCAATGAAAAAAAGAATAATAGTTTTGACAATAAATTATCATTTCGTTTCTCTATTATAATCTCGCATTTATCCATTATTGCTTCCACAAAGTCTTATGGTTCAGTTTTGGTGAATAGTTAACCATCATAAATTTGATCTCACATGTTGTTGATATATTTATATATACCCGCAAGTATAACACTCTATCTAATCCTAAAGATGATTGTAGGGGTATAGAAGGTATAGATAATATATAGAATCAGTTTCAAGTTTGAAATAGCTTTCATTAACATCACAAGATTCACGTGTGTCTTTAATTAGTGAACGTGGGTAAAAAATTAATGAAGTTGTTTATCAAACTCATCTCTCTCTCTCTCTCGCTCTCTCTCTATATATACATATATATATATATATATATGTAATCCAATAAGTCAAGCTGAAAATATTTTAATAATATTGTAATAATTCAGCGTGCGAGTCAATTGCGTCATACATATTTGATATATAATAAATTCAACGCAGGTTCATTATTTTCATTCTCATTATGATGATTCCCAAACGTCATTCATATGGGCCTCGCTTTATTATTCTTTTCTTTCTGTTTTTATAAAACAGAGGAACAATTGTTATTATATATATAATTGTATTCAAATTCAAGTTACTTGTTTGTTACTCTTTTGGTAACAACGAATGATTGGTTTATTTTTCTGTTGGTAAATATCTACTATTGTTAATTTCTTTTGTTACTTTTTCGTTTGGTAACAACTATACCAATTGTTACTTTTATTAGTAAAAATAGCACGGAAAACAATTTTTCCGTGAGTTAATTTGGTATACCCGTGTAGAAATTTTCCTATGGCTCCGATTGGAGTCTAATCGGATTTTAATGCAACGCTTGACGTGGCCCTGATTAGGAAATCCACATTTTCTCGTGGCCCTTATCTGGGACAAATTATGATTCCCTACTAGGGCCCTGGTAGGGAAATTTCTACAAGGGTAATGGTAGTTACCAGTTGGTATAGTAAAACGTGTTAACCAACGCAAAGAAAGTAAAAATTTATTTACCATTTGTAAAAATAAATAAAAGCAGAATTTATATAGTTTCGCTGGTAGTTTTATTTGATTGCAGTTAAATTTCGAACATTGGTGATATGCGTTCATCGTGCAACGCTGCATTAAAGCCGCGTTTGCGTTCATTATACGATGAACTGTGATTAAAACCCTTCTCTCTAGTATAACTTCCATGAAAGAGTTTGCAATTATGGAAGAGAGGCCCCGTTTCGTAGGCATTCACTATCAGATATAGGATTAACTTGGAAAAGCGAGTAAATGGGCACTGAGAGTTTGCAACGAGAATTAAATATACGACTTGTTAACGCGGAAATTGTTAAGACAACATCGTGGGATATGTTTCTTTGTATAACCATTTTGAAACAATCGCTAAAAGCACACACACATATATATATAATATAAAGTACCAAACAAGGACCATATTTGCATTGTACTTGAAATTCGTTAATCGAAAATCCCATTTTGTATGTGTCCTCGAAATGCTTTAATTATTTATAGGAGAAATCAATAACCCTATCACAAAACTTGCTTAAATTTATAGGGAGAACACTTCAAAATTTATTTCCACGACTATTTTTCTAATAATTTGAAATTTCAATTAAAATTTAAAAAATCGTATTTAAAAAATCAAATCGAAAAGATTTGGATTAAATTAAAAATTTTTGGATGAATTTAAATTGTTGAACATAATTATACATATGAAAATTGTTTTGGCTTACCCTGCCAACGAAAAAGCGTCTGTAGCATTTGGCCGTATCATCTTGGTCTATCCTTGGTTGCCATGCTGGTTGTGCTGGTAATAGTGCTCTTCCCGCAGAATCTAAAGTATGCCTGTGATCTGTACCATCGACCCAATAACCTGGTGGTGTGACAACCAAAGGCGGTTTCTGAGATCCAGAATTTGCTTGTTGAATTGCTTGTTCCATAAGCGCTCGACCCAATGGTGCATCTCCAACTGGAGATGGTGATGGTGTCGGCGTTGTGATTTGTGGTGATGGACTAGACGCTGATCTTTCATCTCTAGACGCCTGTAACAAAATAAAATTCAAAATTTCATTAAATAATTTTTAAATACTATATAAAAAAATTATTATATTTTTTTTGAGATTTAGAAAAATGTTTCTCTTTCCATATTTAATGTTTGGAATCCAATACGATTAAAAAAAAGAAACAGAAGAACAAGAAAAGACAATGGAATTTTATATTTAAAAGTCACTGACACCTGTCGATAAAAATCTATATACGTTATTGTTGCAGAATATCTGCTATTGTTCCGCACCAGGTTGTCGATTCTCTGGCTGCTCAGAGAGCCATGAAGAAAGTAACAATTCTATCTGCATTTTCTTATATATATACTCGCGGATTATTTCTCAGAGCTTATAAAACTTTATTCAATTGTTATCCATCATAATTTTCTAATAAAAGGTGTTTTTAAAGTGAATTACCGACATGTCGGTAATGTAGAAATCTAACTAAAAATACTCAAATTCGGGAAAAAATAATTAAGGCATGTAAATTGGCAATTAATTAATAGAATGTGATAAAAATATTGAAAATTTCTTTTATGATTTTCGAATGGGATAGTGGAATATAAATTTTTCGAAGAAAAGAAACATTTTTGTGGGAATTATATTCGTGATCGCTTCTTCCTTCGAGACTTTCGATCAAAGGAAGGAAGCAAAGCAAAAAAAAAAAAAAAAAGGAAGACGTGTATGTATATAGGAGGAGTCGACATATGAGAAGGAGGCGCTCTTTTCGCCTGGGATCATCTGCCAGGTCGAATGGCTTCATGTATATATGAAAACCCAGAGTCCAGAGGTCGTGTATAAAAGCAAAAATAAAACGAAGTACCCTCTCTCTCTTTCTATGAGTACAGGAGCATATGGCACTTGAGCAGGTGGTACACTGTCCAACCGCATTCGGGACACGGAAATTAAAACACCAGGTCCCTTAGCAACATGTGTTTTATTGTCTGGAACTTCTTTTTTTTTCTTTTTTATACTCCCAACAAGGAAACCTGTCGTTCATATTAACGAATTTCTTTTTTCTTTCCTTTCAATTCAGAAAGGATTTAAAAAGCATTTAATTACATTCGTTTTTTCAATTTACCGGATGATATCATCATGGAAATTCTTCTTTCAAAAAAGCTCGACGAATTCGTTCAACAAAAAGTTAAATTGATTTATAATTTAATTATAAAAAAAAGAATTGTTTTTTTTTGCAATGAGAAACATAATTCACGCGCAGCTTGACCCAAATTTTTTGGTTACGCCTCTATATAATCAACATACACACGCCAATTGAATGACAAGATGACATAAAATTTGCTCGTGTAAAAGATAAAAATTTACCACTTGACACATACATACGATGAGTGGTATATAGTTGTTATCTGTGACCGAACCCATATTCCGAAACTCGATATTCCCTCATTCAAATTATTAATGGCACTTATGGACATTTATATATATATATATGATCAGAAAAAAAGCATCTCGCTATGATTTAACTCTAAAGATAGATTGCGCAAATAATTTAAAACAATTAGAAATTAAAAGTTAAAATTTCAAAAACTTGAATTTTAAATTCAATTTTTGTGTATATATAGAAGAATTTTTAATTTGGAACAATAATCGAGTGACGCAATTACAAATTATCTCGTTAACTCTAAAAATAGATTGCACACCAACCCTACAAATTGGAAATCAACGGTTTTCTATTTTTTTTTTAATTTTTGCTTCTCCTCGTCTTTTAAAATCTGTCACGAATGATGTAGAGAGAGAGAGAGAGAGAGAGACGAAAAGCTCGCCGCTTCCCCAAAATGCGTGTTGAATTTATATTTAGCGTCAATGTGAGAAACGACGTTAGTTAGTGTTTCATTTTTTTTTTAGTCCCACCCATAGAATTTAAAGGCACTTAAATTACTGAACAAGCGCGAGCGTTAAATTTTTTTTTCGACGTCTAGGGTAATTCAATCCAAATATCAACGAACGAATTATTATATCTAAAACTCATTTCTCGAATGGCTTATTGAGAGACAAGATATATATATAGGAATATAATGTATACGAAACATGAGCCAGACACACTCCTGTTGACAATTATAATTTTGTTTTAAAATTTAAAAAATATGAGATTGGCATCCATTGCAGAATCTCATGGCCTGCTAAAGTAACGTTTACTACCATGGTAACTGTTGCTATGTTACCATGGTTTGAGCCATGAAACCCTATTAAAAAAGTAAGAGGAAGGACTATTCTTTTGCTTTTTCTATTAAATTGAAGCAACCAGAAATATGTTTCTTTGAATCAAAAATATTTGATTGTTATTTAAAAGAAAATTTTTTTTTATTTAAATCAAATAAATTTTCTTTAAATTAAATTATTTCTAAAAATTGATGAATGTTTTTAAATAGAGAAAAAAAAAAGTTTTAGAATTGGTACAATTTTTCTCTATTCTTCCAATTTTCTACTCTTAGACTGCAGGATCAGATGTCTTGGATGAAGGGAGAATTTACTATTATAGAAGATCACATTGTTGGAATTAGACTTGATGAGGGAAACTTTTTCGAAAATAAGAATAAAACACGAAGACGCAATGATTTGCTCTCTCTCTCTCTCTCTCTCTCTCTCTCTCTCTCTCTCTCTCTCTCTCTCTCTCTCTCTCTCTCTCTCTCTCTCTCTCTCTCTCTCTCTCTCTCTCTCTCTCTCTCTCTCTCTCTCTCTCTCTCTCTCTCTCTCTCTCTCTCTCTCTCTCTCTCTCTCTCTCTCTCTCTCTCTCTCTCTCTCTCTCTCTCTCTCTCTCTCTCTCTCTCTCTCTCTCTCTCTCTCTCTCTCTCTCTCTCTCTCTCTCTCTCTCTCTCTCTCTCTCTCTCTCTCTCTCTCTCTCTCTCTCTCTCTCTCTCTCTCTCTCTCTCTCTCTCTCTCTCTCTCTCTCTCTCTCTCTCTCTCTCTCTCTCTCTCTCTCTCTCTCTCTCTCTCTCTCTCTCTCTCTCTCTCTCTCTCTCTCTCTCTCTCTCTCTCTCTCTCTCTCTCTCTCTCTCTCTCTCTCTCTCTCTCTCTCTCTCTCTCTCTCTCTCTCTCTCTCTCTCTCTCTCTCTCTCTCTCTCTCTCTCTCTCTCTCTCTCTCTCTCTCTCTCTCTCTCTCTCTCTCTCTCTCTCTCTCTCTCTCTCTCTCTCTCTCTCTCTCTCTCTCTCTCTCTCTCTCTCTCTCTCTCTCTCTCTCTCTCTCTCTCTCTCTCTCTCTCTCTCTCTCTCTCTCTCTCTCTCTCTCTCTCTCTCTCTCTCTCTCTCTCTCTCTCTCTCTCTCTCTCTCTCTCTCTCTCTCTCTCTCTCTCTCTCTCTCTCTCTCTCTCTCTCTCTCTCTCTCTCTCTCTCTCTCTCTCTCTCTCTCTCTCTCTCTCTCTCTCTCTCTCTCTCTCTCTCTCTCTCTCTCTCTCTCTCTCTCTATTTCGTCTCGAAAAATGGTCCTAATACAGACTCTAACAGCGGAATTGAAGATTGTCGAGATAGGGTAGCAATCTTGATTCTATATTTCTTTTTTTTTCTACTACGTCTGACAAATTTCGTAACACCTATATACTATAGAGATTTTTATAGAGATTGCAATTTTTTTTTTATTATTTTTTTATTATCGAGAAAAAAAGTATTGAATCAAGAAAATCCATCCTTTGATTACTTAATTCAAGAAAAGAAGTAAAATAGTATATTGTTGGTAGTTATAATCTTTTTACATATATATATAAGATTATACCAAAAAGTTCATTCTTGGAAAACGAAACAACTGTCGGATCATTTCAAAATCCAGTTTCAAATTTACATTTAGGGTCTCTTTCAACCCTCTGTCCTCTGAGATGGTGTTTCTGCCTCGCTAATTTGTATATATATATATATATATATTCCCCTGAACCAGTGAAATTCTCTATAGGGTTTCCCGTAGAGTGCGCGTGCTGTTTTTAACAAGGAGTCGCAATTATCACACCAGGGTCTAAACCCTCAGTTAAAAAAAAAAAAAAAATTAAGTCTCAACCACGTCTCGCGTGTATGTTTTTCGAATTGGAAAATTTTCTTAAAATCACAGTTTTTCAATACATTTTTTTATGGCACTAAAAGCAAAATGAAATACTTTAAAAAAATAATATCCATATTCACAGAAAATTAAAAGGCATTAAAATAAGCTGCAACGCTTATTATTTTAATCCATTTTGGTATTAAAATAAACAAAATTGGATTAAAATAATAAGCATTGCATTGCAGCTTATTTTAATACCTTATAATTTTCTGTTTTACTGAGACAATAGGAAAATTATATTTTTTGTGAATAAAATAATTCAAGTATATATAGGTATATAATATTTGTTGACCCCTCATGGTATCCTTATAATATTTTCTACGCCTACGAGACGATGAGTCACCTCCTTCGTCTTTTATATGTACGCGAACTAACTTTCCCTTCCCAAGTCATTTTGAAAAGTTTATACTGCCCATCAAATGTTCCATTTTATTGCAATATCGATGGAGCATCTTATCTATCTCTCTTTTCATGAAGACGAAATGGAATCCGTATCTAATTTCTGACTGATACATTCTCATTCGTTCTACATATATATATATCTCGTGTGTTCTATCAAACCTATTCTATCAAACATGAAGTTCTTCACTTTTATCTTTACCCCTGCACACACTTTAAAACCAGTTTTAAACATATATATATACATATATATATATTTTTTTTTTCAAGAGATAAGCGAGCGTCCAATTTAGACACTTCCAAAAATTAAAAAAAGTGTTAAAAACTTGAATTTATTTTCTAAATTTTAACATGTATTTTCTAATTGATAATGAAATGCATTGAGAGATAAGAAATGCATCTTTTTTAAAAATTTTCCCAAATTATTAATCTATCCAAATTTTAAAATTAAGGATGGTGCTCTCTTAATTTGAATCAGTGAAATTTCACTGGTGAAATAGCTAGAAGTCGGTTACTGAATCATTTAGTGAAATTTTCACTGAAAATCAGTCATATATCA